AAATTGTTTTCCCCCGCGTGTTATGAATATTTTAAATATCTATAAATTGAATGCAAATATCGACCGGAATATTATTATAAACAAGCAATACTAGGCACGCATATTTTGTTCTGATAACCGCGAATAACCGGAATAATCTCATCGGTCTCCGGTAATGAAGACGCGACATTTTGATAAATCGCTATACGTCATTATTGTCCTGAAGAGTAATGAGTAAATAATATAATGTCCTGAATGAGTAATCGAATGACGATATAATAATATAAGCTAAAATAGCGTAGTTGTTCGTAATGAGAACTCGGTTTACGCTCCGTGAAACAATTGCGGTCGTTTTATTATTAATGTAATAAAAAAGTGATTCATATAGAACGGATTCGACTATAGAAAAAAAAAAGCGAAATAATTATTGCGAAACGATAGAATACAGATTCCCCTACAAAAGAAAAAGGGAAAAAAAATAGGTAACGGAAATAGGATTTTTCAATTTTATGTTCGATTTGTTATCGTAAAAAACTTTCTCCTTTGATAAATCGATACCTATGATTTATCAACGTTACTTAAAATTAGACGCGCTTGTAATGCTGTTGCACGCATAATACAATACTGGTAGCGAAATAATTACACAATTTGTACTAAAACTGTCGCGTAGTTAATAGACAGAAAAAAAACGTGTACGATTTGTTTTTGTTTTTGTGCGCGACGTAAAAAACTATCAGTTTTTTCCGCAGTTTTCCAAATATCGGCAGACGCATTATAACAGTAAATGTGACGTGATGTATTGTTGTTGTTTTTTTTTTTTTTTTTTACACGATTTCCGCTCTATCTTTTACATCAGCGTTTTGATGAAACAAGTGGAGTGAGGAATGTTTGGTTTTACCATGACGTATGCTTATCATTATTTTTTCCGTTTGTGAACAGCTTTTGTATCAGAAATCTTACTCCATTAAAAAACTGTTTTTTTGATGCATTTTAAATCTTATTGACGCGTCGACGGGAAGGTTTATTTTTAAATTTTCCATGCGGTTATCGCAATAATTGGAATAAACTGGAATAAAATGAATAGGAAAAACGAACAAATATATTTACGGTGGGGTTAACAATTTCGTTATTTTAAATTTTTTCGATTACATAGGTTTTCACCAAAAATCTTACACCGAAATTCTAGCATAGTGTCTTTGCTGTAAAAAATTTGGTCTAGTTAGTATATAAGTATAGGTAGGAGGAGAATAGTAGAGCATCGTTTGTACGGCGGCGCAACGCTTGGTTTTTGAATACACTACTCTTTTACCACCGACAGAATGACAAACTTAAGAGTGGGATATCTCAACAGATTAACAGAATTAAAAATATCAACATTTATTTAAATTTAAACTCCCAATTATTTATGGAATTTTTAATATAGCTAGGTTGCAATTTGAAAATCAAAAGTTGGTAGTTATACCTACTTTCATACTCAAAAATAAGGGTGACAAAAATATAAGTAATGTAATATTTTAGAGCTACTTAGTTCTTAAATTGTCAAAAAAAAAAAAGACTGATATACTTCGCATGGGACAGTGTTGTAGGTAAGAAGTTGGGAAGGTAGGATACAGAGATATGATATTCAAATTCTTATAAAAAAAATTTTATATTAAACTCAACTTTTTCTTGTTGAACACTAAGTACAACTTATAATAAATTAAATTCCTGTTAAATTATCAATCATTTCGGTTTATTTTAACAATTTTATCCCCAGAATACCTACTGAGTAAATATTACGTAAAAAAACTCGCAAAATTAAAATATCTAATAGCTTAAAAATTACTCAAATGTTTTGAAAATTTTACCACGTGTATAAAAGGCAATTATATGGTTTCTGTGAAAATTGCAAGTATCAGTTTTATTCACTGAGTTATAATAAAAAACAAAATTGAAAATACATATTCAATAAAAGCTAATGCTTTCGTTATATTTTCCTAAGTTTTTTCCCGTTATTTCCCATTTATTTATTTACTCCTGGAAAAATCAAAAAGTGACCTCCTAAATGTACCACCCCAGGAAAATTCCCTTTCAGAAAATGTACTTTACTTGATACTTTGAAGCAAGCTTACTGCAATTGTTGCACTCAAAATAAAAAAAAAATAAACATCATTGTAAAATCAATACATTCCTCGCTCCGTTCAGAATCCAAAATTATTAATAATAATGCAAATATCTCAAATCGACGTATTCCGAATTTCTATATGAATTTTTTAAATTTATATTTTATTTAAAGTTATTACCAATGATTACTAGCCACATGGTCGTATTAGGCACTGACTCATCCGAAAATTTCCTAGCGCCCCACCTTTGAGTATATCATATTGCAAAGTTTACAAATAACCGATAGAAAAATAAAATACAATAATCGTCACGCTCTCTATGATAACAGTTTAATATATTATTTTGATACCTAATTAAAAATTAGTTTCTCCCTAATTCTACCCGTGTCGTATGATATTTTATTGAAATCGACTCCAAGTCTAATCCTCTCAATATAATCACTTACGTCTGAGCCGGATATATTATAGACATGCAAATAAACGTACGTCGTCAGGTGCTTAGCCAGGAATTACCGAAGAGGATTCTTATAAAAAAAATGCAAAATATTTTTCGTTATCACCATTTATTAGATAAACACTTAAGAGGACGTGATCTGTACATAACAATTTATCGTTCCGATGGGACAATTTTGTGTTATCAGTGAATTGAGTTGTAATCAAACTTAAAGATATAAGCATATTATTTTGTACATTATTGGTGCTATTTTTCCGATATTTTAATTGTCAAACGAACAACAATAAGCATTATAAAATAAATTGTGATATTTCACATAATTACTCACATCTCATTTGAAAATTAAAATATCGAATAAATAGCGCCAACGTTACCGAAATAAAATACATACTAATGACGCCCTTTTAAGAAAATGCACCGAGATAAATAGATATCATTGTATATTTTGTATTTTTCTCGATGAAAAAATGGAAATATTGTCAGTTATATCAATAACTGCAGTTAACAAACAACTATAAACCACAGTCATAGTTCATGGTATAAATAATCTATAATCTTTACAGTCGTTTTTTTTTTTTATCACAAACATTGTAATGAAATTTACGTATATGGCTATATTGTAAAATAATTTATATTTTATCATTTTATTATAAATCTATCTGTTATAAATAAACACTTTCACGGTGGGAAAGGGTATTGCTACACTTAAAACACCCTCTCCCCCTCGCTATACCTTTGTACGTCGTAAATATTTAAACTATCAGAAAATTTATATGCAATTTCCGTTTCTAATTTAAAGACAAAAACAAAATATATTATATTTTATTGACGGTATAGGAACTTGAAAATGACGTGGTTTGATAATTTTTTTTCGTCAACTTTGAGCCGTTCCCCGACTATCATAAACACGTGTTAACAAAAACCCAACTACCTAAATAAGGTACAATATACAGGATGTCCCATGAAGATTTACTCATTGCGATATCTCGGATAAAATATCGTGTTCATTGCAATACTATTATGATAAGCGTTTGGACAGGAAATTGTATTTACAAAGATAATTATCATAATATAATAAAATCAGTTTTCGATCTTATTGGCTTACGTTTATGTAGTTCTATGGTATTGGAGTTTAGATAAAAGTTAAGAATTGATCAAATTCCCGAAAAATCCCTGGATTAAAGAATCCAGAGTGTTAATACCCTGAATGTTAAGAGCGTAGGTATGTATAACCTTTTTTTACTCACAGCACCCTAAAGTATTTTCTAAAAAACTCGATGGCACCCTATAGTTTTATAGTAGTACCTGAATTGTGTATTTATATGTATATTTTATAACTTTGGTTTATAGCTACAGGTTTTCGGTTTGGTGGTCGTAAATGAGTGATAGCGTGATCATTTTACAATAGTTCTACATGGAAAACAAACCAGCATAAAAATAAAAATAGATTCTAAAATATAATCTGTGATATTATATACACAGATTAAACAAGCGGTTTCCAACCTTTTTTTTAAACAAGGCATACTGACTTTTTCATATTTTTCGCGTCATCCCTAGAGAACGCTCCTAGAGAACCCCTAGAGAACGGGGGAAAACACCCCGATTGGAAACCACTGGCGTATATTGTTCTCTAAGTGTTAGAATTTGCGTTTTTATTGTATTATGCGAATAATGGTCGCGTGTCTGAAAATTAGCCTTTTTCGAAAAAATCTTCGACGGTGACTTGTAAGTCGATGAATTCCGCGGGCTTGAAAGACTAACGTTACATTATGTGGAATCGCTCGAGGTTTGAATTTTTCGCGTAATCCGTATTTCGTCGTCCGGTTCCTGCAGCAGTTACCGCTTCAAAATTTAAACGTAAAAACGGTTATCGCTTTCCGGTTCTTAAATTATCGGTTTTAACCGGTTTTCAACGAGAACCGGTAACCGTTCTTAAGCGAGTACAAGACCGATATTAAAATATTGTACTTGGAACAAGTCGACAAGGGAGGGAAGGGGGGAATTCGACTCTATACTGACGAAGATCTGTTGCTTTCGGGCGTTTTTTCTTTAGATTCTGAACGAAGGGACGCATCGGTTTTTTTTTTTTTTTGAATTAATAACATGTTTCGCTGTAGTCACGTTCGAAAAACGGGGAAGTGGCGGGTTTTCAGTTCATCGGACTTTTGATCGCCGGATCATTTCTTCGTATATTAACGCAGCGCGCCTACTGGGTGCACGTGCATTATTATTGTTGTGTGTCGTAACGAGAATAAATTACTGGACGCGGTTTGTTTTTCCCGTCGATGTGAGGGTGCGGATGAGGAAGTGGGGCGGCTGCGGCGGCAGTGACCCACGCGGGGAAAACAGCTGTTGGCCGCGAGGAGCGCACGCGTGCGCAACAGCCGAACCGGTCGCGCCGCGGTGTGCCGCCAAAGATCGTCGTCGTCGGGCGCAAGCGTACGGTCAGCGGCCCAGTCGAACGTCGGCCACCTACGCGTCAGTGTTTCTTTCTCTGTCGGTTTTCCCGCGTCGCGATCGCCCGGCGAGTGTTGTCGCGCTCCGCACACTTTTAGTTTTGTTCTCAGTTTCCATAACGTTATCGTAAATTTCGTTGTTTTTTTTTTTCTGTTTGTTCCCGCCGCGATTTTCTACATTTTTTTACGGTACGAAAACCGCGGTGACGACCATTAACCGCGACGTGTACCCACAGCATACACGCCCGTGGTCTTCGCGTCTCCCGACCGCGGATATAGGTACCCATACACCTACACGTGTCCCGCGATTTGTTCTGCGTAAGTACAAAGTCTTTATAATTATTATTATCGTTTTCGGTCGCCGGACGTTTAAAATCTCGCCCCGCGGTCGCTGTGACGACGCGCGTTTAGTGGTTTATTTCGCGTCAGTTTTTTTCGAGAGTATACCTAGTCGTCAAATAATACCAAAACATCAACATCCAATACAACAGAAATATTTGTCTTATGGTTTAGCGGGATGAAGGACGCGCAATTAATAATCTTGAGAGTTAAAATCGCGAATCGATTGAGAGGCTCGAGAGTATAGGTGCCCATGATATTTTTAATGAAACACTCGAGAGCAGAAGGTATACGGCGCACATTTAGTGTACCCAACGGGGACGCATTCGGTTTCAGTAGATTATAATCGGTCCATAGTCGACATTTAGTATTTTCGGAAAACGCTTTATCGCAGAAAAACGTATGTTGATGGACACGCGTGTATTTCATCGGAACCGCATTTCGTGGGATACGTATTTTTATCGGAAATGATAAATGATAAAAATTATGTTATCATTAAATATAAATATAATTTTGATTACGACGGTTCCGAGCAGATTCGTTTCAATGCAATACGATTCAAATCAAATACGTTTCCGATGAATAATAAATGTCCAACAACATGTATTTGTCCACCAGGATACAGTTACCGAGAAAATATTTTCCGACATTTTACGCCTCCGCCCCAACTGATTACTAAATGTATTATTCACAATTGGATTCGTTTTCAAAAAATCCCATTAAAAACCGCGCGTTATGTGCTAAACACGTTTTCCCATTTTCCGGAACGTGCGAGTTTCTGTTCCGCCTGAATTATTCTTGGCGAGATTTTCAAGGTGCTCTCGCGCACATATTTTTTTTTTTTTTATAATGTAATTAGTTAATATCAATCGAATGCAATAGAATACACCGAAATTCGCGATACGTGCAAAATCGACGTTTAGCCTTTTAAGCGCCGGGAAATGTCTGCGCTACAGACAAATACCTTAGTCTGCCTACACGTCAATCCGCGGGTGTCGTCTGCGCGTGACGTTTATTATGTTTTTATGGGTACCGATATTGACGATTGCGTTTATATAGAGAACCTGCACAAGTATATTGTTATATGTCATGTAATATAAATATTTTATAATTCAATAAAAAGATTTTAGGTTCTGAGTTTAGCGAAGAATGCATTGGTTTTAAAAAGATGTATATATATATTTTTTTTTCTATTTTTTTATACTACTGCACACAAATTTCACCAGAAATCTTGTTCCGAAGTATAGCACCTTTTCTGAAAGGGAATTTTCCCGGGGGGGTGGTGCTTTACGGTGGTCATTTTTCGATTTTCCCAAATAAACGGGAAAAAAAACGGGGGGCAAACTGGAAAACAAGATGCAATGTTGAACAAATATAACATATTTGTATAATGCGTACCATTGCGATTATTTTACTACAATGTCACACGTACATCGTTGACAGAGCAACAGTGTATTTAACCGAACTCCGCCGAGAATCGTTTTTCGTTAGCCACGGTTAATCGTCGCCGTACAGATATGTACATTAAACGTCCACTCCACTGCGTTCCCAACTTCTCACCTACGACTACAGTGGCCCACCCACGTGCGGAATACGTCCGTGTCTTTTGATTTACAGTTTGTCCGTAACGCGTTCTTTAAAAATAAAAGTTTTCAAATTGAATAATTCGTTTTTGATAAAATATAGGTTTTATCTACATTCATTATTGTGTACGGACGTACGGGAATGCCCAGTATCCCATTACCGCGTTGCGTGCATCCCATGGACAAAATATACTTGATCGTTTCGTTTGAAAAAAATAATCGGTAATTATTACGGCGTCAGAGGTTCGCGGGTTAACGGTTCGAATTGAAATGCGGAGAAATTCAACGCGGCGCGTGACGTCACATCAACGGCTCTATCATACCGGTGGTTCGACCGCTCGGGTTCTCGGTTATAACCGCCGAGAACTTGTCGTTAGCCCCGCACTATACGAGTGTATTGTTGTTACTTATCTGCGGCGGATTATACATAAATAATAACGATCGCGCGCAATTATGTCGTTGTTTTAATAACTCTGATTAGTAGTAGCGCGTACAGCACAACCGTAATACAGTTTACCGATCGTTAATTATTATTGTGATAGTTGCATTCAGTGTCGTGCGTAGGAGGGGGGGGAGGTTAGGGGTTATATCACCCCCCCCCCACACACACACACCTATTGCAGGCATAAAATACACATGAATACGTGTAGTCTAATGTCGAAACGCATGTATTTCAGCCAAGTTCCTGGGAAAAACTCGACATAGCGATTAGAAATTGGCCTTTTTTTCAAGGATCCGGCTTTTAAATCACCTACCGATTTCCACAGTCATCAATTTCGGCGGAGAATACGAGTTTATGATTTACTCGTGACTCTTGTGTGCTACGTCCCCTCCTATCGTTGATAATTCCTGGGCACGCTACTGATTGCAGTGACCGATTGTACAATTATGAATATTGTCGCGATCGAAAATTCCAGTAGGACGAATCCCGATGTTCCGGGGTAATCGAAACGATTTTTTTTCTCCGCGCGTGTAGAGACTACTGCAGCAGAGCGGAGTTGGCGGAGAAACTACGTGTACCTAGTGATGTAAGTTTGTATAATAAAAATGTATAATATAGTATATGTATTATACACGCTATATAGAATTATGCAATGGTGTTAAATTTGTGTACTATTTTTATTTTTCGTTTGGTGATCAATCTGTTTGCTTTGTACTTTGTTAACAACTTTTACATGAGTTTTTCCTTATCTTTTTTTAAAATTCGATATCAATATGAGCATATTCAAATGGATAACGGTTGAACAATCAAGTCAAAGTTTTGTATGTAATTTCAAATTCGTATATTTTATAACACATGATTTGGATTTTATACCGTATAAAATGTGTATAATACAGTATAATATGAAAATTGATTATAATAAACTTTAATACACGTATAAATACAGGATAAAAAAAAAATACCATATTTCTACATCATTACGTATACCTATATAATGCGCCTGCAATACAACACGAGGAAGAACCGAGGGGCGCCCGCAAGATCCGGGTAAAAGCGATCGTATACAGACGTGCCAACGAGACCGTCGGTTCGGGATTTATTGTAGTGCGATTAACATAATAATATTTCCGTTGGAAAAAAAAAAACACAACCGATTATAATATTAAAACGCGCGCTCGTAATCGAGGGAACGAAAAACAATCAAGCACATCGCGGGCCTATAAATTATACGCGGTAAACGTACTGTTTTAACGAAAACTGGATAATTATTTGTCGGTCGAAACGCGTATCTGCGAGGTCTTAATTTTTTTTTTTTTTTAGAAATCGCATTTATTCGCGAACGATCGGCCAATAACGTTTATTATATCGCCGGGTATGTTTTCGAATAAATTATTCGAATCATATTACGCGCGCATTCGATACAGAGCTGCTGTTTATTTCACGACGTGTACCTATATATATATATATATACCTACATCGCTCTCTACACGTGTTCACGTGAAACCGACATTGGAATCTATGCACAAAACCGTGTACAACACGCGCATTTCGCGTTACTTTTCACGTGTTTTCACTACGCCATTCACGCGAACAACATTATAACACGCGGATAGTGAATATGATATTGCGTATTTGCATATACTGCACGCACTGTTTTGTGAAAAGGGCGTATACCTACCACTAAAAATCGACAAATACGTTTTTGATACCAAAAGAATCCGAAAAATCAAGATAATAAACTGGTAAAAGGGCGTATTCAAACACGGAAAATCAAGTAGGTAATATCGACTACCTATAAGATATCCAGGCGCCCTTTTCAAATATATAATTAAATCAACACCGATTTGTTAAAAGGGCGTATAACACATTCAATGCATGTATACTTTGTCTACAATTATGTGTAATTTTAATGTTTTGCGTGATAAACATCATTGAAACTGTTTTGTTCCCTGAAAAAAAGTGAAATTTGATAGACGCTCTCTTAACAAAACACCGCGCTTACTATCAGCCCTTCAACGCCCTCTCTCTGTATTTAATTCGTCCCTCGAAGATACAATAATATCTTTCTTGTAATTTTGTTTGATTTTCAAGCGTAAGTAACGCAAAAATTTGGTAACATTTTTGATTTAAAAAAATAGTACTTGGTCTATTTAATATAATATACGAACCGTTAGATGCAGAAAGAACACCATTTTTCAAATTTTTTAACTTTTAAAGAAAAACAAAAATACTCGACAAAAATTAAACGTTAATATAACTAATATTACAGTAATATCTATATAATAATTATAACACAGTAATTTATGAAATACTTTGAAACTCTAGGTGCTCGAGGAGTTTTTCGTCTTTCGTGAAAAATTAAAACATTTGAACACGTGACCTTTCTGAATTTAGCGATCCGTACGTTTTGTTAAATGTATACATAAACCATTACAATAAAAGGTTCGACATTATAATAATACAATTTCTGTGTTGATACAAACGACTCGTATAATATTTAAATATTTTTAGTCAATAATCAGTATACATATTTTAGATATAGATATTGAAGTCTAGGGACGTCTTCAGATCAATTATATGGGGGAGAGGGAAGGCGAAATTTTAAAACGTTTGATAAAACCCTATTTTAGTCGAAATAAGGGCTTAAGAATCATAGATAAAAATTTAAATAATTAATTTATAAAATATTGAACATCATCATACGGCACACAGGGAGGAGATCGCCTCCTTCTTCGGGTACTTGCCCTGTTGCAGTCTCATTAATATTAAGTTTCGTTTTAATATGTGGATATTTTTAATAGTTTTCAGAAATAATGTGATTCACTTGAGATTTTTTTTTAATCTTATACACAAATAGGTTAGATAGAAAGTATTTTTTTTTATCTTTACAATGTACATATATTTATAATCGTTTTATTTTTTTATAATTTGGCTTCAGTTAACTATAAGTAAGTAAGTATTTTCATATACCCTCGAATATGCCCATCGACCCTTCAAATTTCGGAACCCATGTTAAACATAACAGAAAACTGTTATAATAAATAGATATTAGCTAGCCGGCGGATTTCAAGCAAATGTCTATTTAAGTAACATTAAAATATTTCTAATCATCGTCGTGTGTTAATGTCATATCAAATATCTAGGTTTGAATTGCTGGTTTCGCGTTTATTGTAAAACTACTATGCCGATGCGTATTCGTATGGTTGCGATCAACGCTGTACTCGGTCAGGTGTAAATCGTCCCATTCGGAAAATACTATAATAATTGTCATTATATAGATGATAGTGCGCGTGACACAAGTACTTATTCGTATCGACGTGATGTTTAGTCACCATTGTTAGATAAACATATCGTTTGGCATTCCATTATCGTGTCCATGTACATATTTGTTGATGATAGTTATAAACTTACAATAATTGTACCTACCTGGTGTAGGTGTATTATTGAAGTGCACACTGCACAAATATTGAACGGTATATTCGTTTTTTTTTTTTTTTTTTTTTTAATTGTCTTTAGTTATCATTTCTTAGATGAGGACTACCGCCCGGATGATTCAACGAAGAAAAACCTTTAAAAAGGGACATGTCCGAAAATTCTTTAGATAACTAACGCAGTTCGTCTCCTAATACTCCCGCTTTTCCCGACCAGTATGCTGTTTTGACCAATGGGCTCTTTAATTCTTAAAATGGATTTAAAATATAAGTAAACTGTCGGTTTATTTGTATAAATTATTACAATAAAAATAAAAAGGGTAATAATTCAATTTTCGTAAAAGTACCTATGGATTTTAAATTCTTATTAGTGATGGTTTTCACAAGGTATTGGGTATAATAATATTGTCTATAAGGGAACGCAAGAGTACGCATATACTGTTCTTTTCCCCCGAGCCAATAAGTAAAGTAGGTACTGATTATAATAATAAGGTGTGTGTGTGTGCGTACTTATAAAAGGTTTACCCCTCTGATTTGTTCGGATCTATATAGTGGCGGAGTTTTCGAACGGGCACTCGTTCGCAGTCGTTTATATTTACCGGGTCATACTCTTGTACATTTGGGTGACCGGTTTTGCCGGCAGCAGCGCGGCATTAACATAATATGGAGAGATGAAAAGAAGTGAATTGTGCAGCGATCGCCGGCGGAATGACATTTGGCTGCTGAAAATACTGGTTTTCTGCAAACGAGGCACCGGTCCTCCCGTTTTGGAAGTCCGGCGGTCACGTTAATGTTCATATTATTATTATTATATACGCATACAACATATGTATTAAACGGCCGCATATACATATTTTTTACAATTTATATATAAAGTGTATTTTTTATTTTAATCTTTATATTCCAGTACGACGTCGTTGTCGGGTTAAATCGTACACACACACACACACACACACATACACACACATAAATACATGTACACATACCGTATATTCCTTAATTCACCGTGATGACACCGGTGGCATCGGTGTTGTTCGTTTTGAAATCCGAAAATCTCTGACGGCATCTAAGATAGCTTTATCACTCACTTTATTTACGAGTCGGTTAACGATAAGAATGTTTTTAATGAAGTTTAGTGAAATATACGTGACCAGATATAATATCTAGAAGCTCGCGGGGATTGTAATTTATTTTTTATAAAAATAAATTGATCTGTCTTCATATATCGTGTAGTACCTGTACTCATATATTATAAAGATATCACTGCTGCAAAGTGCCGATAAAACTAGGTACTTCCATCTCCAAATCGAATTCCGAATATATCATGTATTATTACTTTTTACAGTTTTTGTGTATAATTTATTTATTTATGGAAATTATGTACAAGATAACACTATAAACGATGTTCCCTTAGTATCTCGTGATGCCATCAGTGATGCTACCACTAATGCTATCACAGATAAATTAAGGAACATATTATACTTACATACATACATACAAACATAAGTCGGGTAAAGTACGAAAGACTGATAATCTATACATTATCCGAGTAAGGTTACACTACCCATACGGCCATACCTACTGGATAAAGTTATTGACGTTTCGAGGCCGTTGTATTAGTCGTCATCGTCTCCCAGTAGTACACATCATATTGCGACCTATAAGAAACACTACAAACGTGTCGTTTTCGTGAATCAAAGAGCATTTCATTTTTTATCATACTTTTAGAATGTTATAACATTTCAGTCAAGAATTTGTAGTTGGTGTACCCTGCAGTACATTGCAGTGACGCGAATGTAGGCAATAAATAACTATAATTGTTACAAAGTTACAAAAATGATTAGTAAGTAAATAAAAAGCAACTTTGTGACCTTTAAGTGTTACCCAGAACCGATTTATAGAGGATGGGAGAGGAACACCCCACTCACGAAAAATATTTCAGTTGGCAAATTTAAAATGTTGACATGAAAGTCGTCTCGAATCAGTATTTTAGAAATTGACAAATGTCAATTATTATTACAAATATTCAAATCATTTTACAATAATATGCTCAATGAATAAAATTATATTTATATCGAGTCTCTAAAAATAATTTCACTTCGTGGTAATAAAAAATTAGAGCATTTCATCACTCACCAAAAAAGTATTGGTAATACTAAAATCTCTTCTTGTAACTTAATTCGTTATACTAAAATCGATTAAAACGTCCAGTTTTATTAATTTTGAATTTATTATTACATTCACCGCGCGTCAGCGTTTTCTCGATATCGTGCAAATATATAGGTAGTATGCATGAACACTTTGAGTTTAAAAACTAAAAACATTCGCTTATCATCTGGTTGATGACTATTATGTCGTTAAATTATACAGAGTGTAACTATATAGTGTATTCGACGTACTTACGGTAATATTACGGGCATTAGCATTGTGTTGTCTAAATAATGTTACGAGACGTTATGCGTGAACTACCTTTTTTTTGCCACCGAAACTTTAATAATTTATTTGATGCGGATCCAGGCGTATATTGGCCCGCCAGGGTATCGGAAATTACTCGTTTACTTACTCCTATTTCCATAAATTTCCTTTAATAATTGGTTTTACTAAGATGTTTATTTTTTCTTTCTTTCTTTTTTTTTCTAGTCAGTGGATACGTTTTTTTTTCTAGTAAACTTGCTCTGATTTTTACGTCTAGCAAAATTTTCGGAAAACTCAAGTTATCTAGATGCTACATTTTTTGATTTTTGAAGTCATTTTTTAAATAAAAACACTTTAGTGGGAAAAAACATAAGAAAACGTACAATTTCACGATTTCATTATTTTAAAAAACACGGACGACTTTTCTACCACAAAAAAATGATTTAATCGACAAATCACAAGATTCCTATTTTATTGTCTTTTTGATTAACTTTCTTATGATATCATTTCCAAAACTTTTGAGCTACTTTTGAGCTTTTAAGGAATTTTATTTGATGGGAGTTTTTTTGCTGTAACTCGGTTATAAATACACATAGAGACTTGAAACATGGTAATAATACTTATATTAGACTTACCTAGACTTGGTAACATTTCCAAAATCATCAGACAACTTTTTTTTTTTTTATTAATAAGCGTTTTGAAATCAAATTTAAACGAAAATCGCAAAAATTACGTATTACCGCACTACGCTCGGAATCGTCTTTTGTCAAGCAATGGTTTATCGTTGCTTACAGATGTAAATAAAACAACCTTATCCTACCTTTCCGACGCAGTTCTTATCAGCTCTTTTTTTTATTTTTCGTTATCCGCGTCACGCGCTTAAAGTACATTTTTTAATTTTTTTTTTTTATTAAAAAAGCCCAACCAGTGGGCTTGCCATTTTGTTTGAATTGCGTTTTTAATTCATATTTATTTATACTTTTTAATCAGAAAAGATAAATATGTATTGGTACCTATTAGTTAATATTATGTCAAAAAAACCCCCCCGAACGTGTTCATTTTCTTATTCAAAGTGAAATCTATATCTTTGAAACGCAAGAGATTTGTAATTAATTATAGTAAATAAACTATTAATAATTACATTAACACCTGTATATTTTGATTTCAATGATAATTTTAGGGCATATTGAATTGTAAATTACCTTTAAAGATATATAAATTAAAAATGTACGTTTTTTTTTTTATCCTAATATTATTGTATATACAATATGGCAAAATTTCTAAATTCAATATTTCCTCCCTCGGTAAAATCCTAAATACCTACGCTACTGTTAACCATATTAGATTTACAGTGGGCATTTCGATTTAAAACCGTATTGTCATGATGTACATTTAATATTTATATTATCATTATACAATATTATGTACTTAAACCACTCGATTATTGTTTAATACATGCAAATTGCGTATTGTTTTAGATTTTCTACGAGCAGGTGCATTATAGGTACATCGATGACTGTTGATTTTATTATAACCTACTTAAAATAATGGCGAAGAAATGCACAAAAATATCCGATAATTTCAAAACCATACTTTCCACCGTATAGTGTTACCCGTATAATATTATGTACGGTACCTATATGTATTGTTTCTATCGTGTTGTGCACAATATCATGTTATTATTAGATATAGGTACGTTCGCATTATTGTGTACCTGCATAAACGAGTGGCAGAGGTTATAATACTGTTTTACCGCAATGAAAAATGGCGGATTTCTTTAAAAATGGCTTATGAGGTTGAAAATCATAAAATCATTATAATATTAATATTAATAGAACTAACTCTCTAATTGTTTCGATAACCAATTATTATTCTTATATATATATATTAAAAAAAAAAAAAAACAATGACTGATAATGCTGATGGGTGTGCCATTGTTTTTGTAAGGGAGTTCGAAGGGATCGAGGGTATAAATAGAGAAAGTGAATTAATTTATATCTGTACGCAACAATAATAATTATTAGTATTTGGAAAACGATTCTGAGTGAATTATTATGAGCCGTACTTTTTCCCTCATTGTCTAGGTGACCCAGAAATCAACAAAGGTTATACGCAAAATTGCTAACATTTCCCGTTCATAAAGCGAACCATAAATGCACCAACTATACAGATCAAATATTTCTATAAGAAATTTTTTATAAACTTTTTGATCGGAGCAACAAAGAATTTAAATTGTATATTTATATATGTATTACATATGATATTAGGTACCTATAGAGAGATGTTACCAATGGGTTTCTTTCTCAACACGACACTCGTATTATTTTAATCATTCTTTTTTTGTAAATATCAAATTTGCTTAATTTAAAAATTGTATACAGATTGTGAATTATCGAAATAATAATAATAATAATAATAAAAAAGGTGTAAAAAATAAATGTATTCAAAATTACCGTGTAGATTATCGTTAGTTCGTTTGTTTTCGGTTTTGATATCGAAAATATCCACCCCATATGATATTATTATGTTTGGCACGAACGTCGCCCGAAATTGATTGCGTATTTTTCCACAATTATTTTTGATTATATAATATGTTGTAATTATTATTATACTATATACGGTTTCGTGACTCGCCCGCGCTTTTTTTTAATTACTATTTCCTCTGACGTGATCAAACAAACCGACACGCGATCTCTCTTCGACAAGACCTGCAACAGCTGACGTCGTTGCGCGATATCGTAATAAATCATAATAATAAAACTTGTTTGACGTATATCTCCCGCATTTTTTAGACGCGGCACTCGACACGAACGTTTTTTACTGTACAATAATAATGATAATAATACTAATAATGTGATAACGAAGTGTGGTACACTCGTACAACAATAATGTCCGTTATTGTGATAGTTTCTCGAGTGAACCGCGTTTATAACACATATCGATACATCGTCTCGGAATAAATTATAGTAATATAATAAATGCTGTATCTACGCTATTGTACCGGAAATGTTGACAGCGGGAGGGATTTGTTTACGAAAGAAATGCTTTTGGACTATCATCACGTCTCGAAGATAATTCGAAAAGCGTTCGGCTCTGTTATTATAATTTATAATAATGTACATTTTTATAATCGTATTCTGCTGCGTAACAGACGTATCCTCGTATTAATTATTTTGATATAATTTAAAAATATATACATATCATATAGTAAATCCAGTGGCGTATTTACGAGAGGGGGGGAGTGGGTGGTTATTCGGCGTTTCCACGTTTGGATCCAGAGGCTCGCCGCACTCGATTCCCATAATAATGGTGGGCTTGGCATGAGTTGACCGGATAGATTTTTTAAATTGTGTTATACATCGTCCTTAAGGTTTTTTTAAGATTTTAATTTCCCATGAAACCAGCTTTTCATTGTCTTCATACCAGTAGTTTAAAAGGGAAAAGTTCGAAGGGGAAATATATTTATCAACAATTGAGGAGCGTTCCTGAGAATTAACTTAACTTTAACTTAAATTTTAGGAAACCGATCACGAAGACAAAATTTCCAAAATGGCTTTTACTCACACACATTTGTTCATGCAAATTTTATAACAATAGGGTTTAAAAATGAACTGCATCTCCCCACCAATATTATCCTATGTATGTGTCTGTTTAATATAAATAAAGTGAAACAGAATCTAAATACCTAAAATCGTATAGGTATTAAAGGATTTAATTTGAATAAAACTTATTTTCAAAATGTCATTAAAAATGTCTCGGAGACAATAACGAAAATAGCGTCCATCTGGGCTTCGGAGACTTAAACGTAAGGAGGTCTAATAATTTTACCTTAAATAAGAAGGGAAACCCCCCGCCCCTTCATTTAAACCACTGCTCCGTACTTGTCTATAATCTTTCTTATTACGTATATATGTATGCGTCGTATACTCGAACTATATATTATGTTATTGGTATCACCTCGATATCACCTAAGATGGTTCTAATCGTATACCGCATTGTACTCGCGCGAATTCATAAACGCGTGGAATACCAGAAGAAAAACGATTTTTCGAACGAATTTCGGCCGTTTGCACATATAATGTATACGTATATATATATATATATATATATATTTCATGTATATACAGCAGGTGATTCACGGGTCCACAAAACCGTAACTTATTATTACTTATATTTTATCCACCTTCCTCTCCACCGCTCCTATTTTATGCAGTTTGTTAAGTAGCCGACCAAGGTCTCTTCTCTTCTGGCCGACCGAGTTGCGGCGTTATCCCGTACGGCGGATATTGCGGCGTTCCCTGTAACGAAAGGTCATGCACGGTTTGCGAACCTTGACATCCCCCCGAAACAATAATAAATAACACAATAATATTATAAACGTGTGAAACGGTGTATAGTTTTTAGTTTTTTACAACGACGACGGCGGCTGCAGGCATTTCGTCAGGCGTGACACCCCGGCCGTAGGTACCTAACCTATTATAATATACTCGACTCGTAGACCGATCCGAATATTATTCGTCGTACCCGTTTTAACGAGACGCTGCGGTGGCATCGGACGAAAAAAAAAATCATAATATTATATTAAAAATACAAAAACACCGGTGCGGTTTTAATTGTTTCCGACACAAGTCGCGTATATAATAATAATTTATGCGTTCGGTATGCGATGCGGTTTCTGCCAGGCGAACTATCGGTTTTTACTCATTCGTCGCGGTTTTGTACGTTAATTATACAGGTAATATTATATAGGTCCATATTTTCGAATCGTCGTGTGGTTTCCCCCGAGAGAAACTTCAGCACTGTTTTGTAGTTTCGTAATGTTTCGAGGACTAAAGAAAGCTCGGTTCACACACAACACGTAAACGAGCAATGGTATCAAGCCGCCGAGCTACTCGCTTCGAATTATGCTTTCCTCATTGGTTGAAGTGGGTGGACGGAGTCTCTCTCCAGTTAGTTAAGGTAAAATTATCCGTTCCCTTTTAGTCTAGTATGTCTGGATATTGTTTAAAATGTTGTTCAATTAACAAGATGTCAAATAATTTTTAAACATTTTATTAGAAGGAAAATGTGTACGAATACGATACTATATACGAGTATGATCTTTATACAAGATAATACAAGACATCACTTAGTAATTAGTATTTATATTATGCTGTGTGCATGAAATTCACTTAAAAATCAATTTCTGCATAAAGTTAACATTCAAATTTAAAAAAAAAAAACTTGTTTCGTATACACATAGACATAAATGATACATATGGCTTGAGCCCAATTATAGGTTTTAAAGTATACACACTAAGATTTGATTAATTCAAATGTTATAGAAAAGGCTTGAGATGACCTAAAGAGAGTTAAATATCCCTTTCGCCTAATTACGTCTATGCGTATACAACTAGTTGGTTAAGAGTTCTTAAACTTATGATGTTCGAGGTATAATAGTTTTGTATTTTGTATTTTTATTGAACATTATATACTAACATTATATATTAACAAATTGTATTAATAATACATTCTTTACTAATTCACTTATACCTACGTAATCATATGTTTTACTTAAATTTCATGGAGCAGGCATGTGTGTAATATGATTTTTTTGGGAAAAGAGAGTTTATTTTTAAACCCATTTAAAATAATTTTTTTATGAACATGAATAAATAAATCGAATATGTATGGGAGAAAACCATTTTAGAATGCTTTACTTCTGGAAATTTAGTTGGGTTTAGTTAGTGCTCAGAAACGTCCCTTGTAGTTTTTCCCGCTTTAATCACTGGCTTCACATTTCTATTCATTTCTATTTGACTGGAGCAAGATGAGTTGCTGAGTAATAACGCAAGTCACGTGCGTCTATTTTTTTGACCGTCAGTGTTTTCCCTTATTCAGATTATCACAGACAAGTAGATATAACTGTCACGAAATGTCGCCTCGTCCGTACACTATTGAAGCGTTGTGAACATAATATTATGACGATATACGAATATTATCTATATTATCCTCGACACTTTTCGTCCTATAAATCAGCAATATTATAATACGCGTACTTTATATAAGCAATTATAAGTAGCCCCGGGACAAAATCGAATATCGTTTATTTACTGGCCCCGTGTGAACTCGTCGGTGTCCCACGATAATTCGTAATGTGTCCCGTTAACGTTTTTATTACCGACTCGAATGTTATATTTTATCGTTATCGTTTTCAGTCGCACAATTATTACTCACCCGTAAATACACGGATAAATAATTAGGCGAGTTAGCTAAAATTTCATTTAAGATATCATCGCGCACATTCGCTGGACGTGGAAAAAACAACCGCACATTGAACGCTTCTGATTGGGCGGTGTGTCATGATATTAAGACACATCGTTATAAATTAATATACGCGTTTCAGCGTTTATTCCATGTTCGGGGAACATTAATTCATAAGCAGTATTATCTCGCTTGAATGCCTATTTCATTAGCCATAGTCATACACGAATAAAACATAAACCTGTACTATTATTATCATTATTTAATAATAATGATAATAATAGTAGAATAGAAGGATACACATGCGTAGTTTTTGCCGACTAGATCCGGCGCGACATTGCGTAAAAAGCTAAAGCGATATTTTAATTGCGACACGGCATCGTCGACGTCGTCGTCGGGGAGAAAGTGTGCTCTGTTGCGCGCAGACTGATTTATTATAATTGATATAAGTATTATCTGTGTCGCGTGCAAATCATAGTGTTCATATTTGTTCATAATAATATACACCTTTATACAAAAATACGAGTCGAAAACAATAATATTACGTGGCGTCTCGTTTATACACCAACAAAATTATAGAATCCTATTAGATTCTGAGTATTTGTTCCTTCCCTACATGTGTTTTAACACATTGCGTTAGTAAAAATCTTCCAAAACTTTTACGTCGTATCCATTGATGTGGATTTTCGCGTTCAATGGCCGATACCTATTTATAATTCGAATCATTATTTCCATATTATAGATTCCCGACAAGTTTACTAAAAAATGTAAAAAAACCAACGGCAATAGATAGCAATACACCGGTTATTGGCTAATTCTATGACACGCGGAGGTGCGAAATTTGTCCGTTATACAAAGAGTGTTGTGTTTTATTTAGATTGGTATATTTTTATCTTTTGTTATGTAGACAAATGAGAAATAAGTTAGCCGAGGTATTTGGTAATAAATAATTGATTTTAGATAAATATGTTTAAATCGTTATTTATATATTTATTAGAGATAAAATATTTGATTGATATTAATACGGTTTAATAAATAAAAATTAATAAGTTAGATTATACTATGATTATAGTGATGATACATCACTCACTCTATAATCTAAATACCAAAAATACCAAATCTGGTACACTTTTAATATTTTTAGTACTTAATTTTATGGTAATGAACAAAATTATTTTTTCTTCCTTCTAGATGAAAATAGTATTTGATTATTTTTGTTTAGATAATTAAATTGTTATCAATTTTTTATCATCGTCCGGATAATTATTCTAGAAACTATTTTTTATCTTTATCTAGACATTATGAAATTAATCTTTACACAACGCTAGCCACTGGTCGTCACGGGTTGACGATGATGTGAAATGTGGCTCCGATGGTGATTTATTTTAATAAAATCCGCGCCGATGAAACAAAATACTTGTTTAGCCCAAGTGCAGAAAACTTATCGTCCGTTCGCTGAAAAATATAAGTACCGGTGCGGCACCGTGGACGACAAATTTCTAAAACACGTCTTCTTAAATCCGTGATCCGTCCGTAACGCTCTGTTGATTTACCACGGCACCCAATTATTATAAAATCCACGTGTAAAACGGGCGTATACATTTTTTAATGTCCGATCAATAATAATATGATCAGTGATGCGACCTACGACTAGTATGGATGTTAGGTCATGTACGTAAACAAGACTCCTCCGCGAAGACGTTTTGAGGTCAACGGACGACTACGCCGTCGCGTCTTATTCAATGTCAAGTGTATATGCTCGTTCGCGCCTATTGATACGCGGTCGAAAACGAAAGTGTTTCGAAAACGGTAAAAATATTGTTATTTTTTTTTTCAAACGCGATATTTAAGAAGCTTTTTCGGTCATTTTTTGGTCGACTTACAGCGTTTAACTTTATTCTTCATTTCTCGCAGCCTTCAGCAAGCCTCTTTAAATCCACCGTAAATGTCTATATACGCGTATATCATTGCGTTTTTTTTCTATTGAGATGTATATTATAAACTCCTTGATTGATCTTTCTAGTGATTTTTGTCCTTCAATTGCACTTTTTTATTAAAGTGAGGTGAAATTTTATTTTTCTCCGTACCATAGAATCTGGTTATAATCCATATCCCATCGTCGCCACATTATAATATTCATTATGGTTCTTCTTTTTTCAACTTGTGTTAAACCATCTCTATTAGTTTGTTTCCATTCGTCTCTAACACTGCCTTAAGAAAGTACATAATTTAGAGACAAAAAATGTTGAAGGGACATTCGTTTGTTTCCTACAATTTTATCTCAACATTTTCTCATTTTAGATACTATTATTTTCCAATTATTGATTCCAATATACTTTTCTAAATATGTAACATTTAAAATAATTCCAAAACTCTAATTATTTAAATCAAAGGTTCCTAAACTTTTTATGGTACGACCCATTTTGGAAATAACTCATTACGTCATAACTCACGAGTTTATTATTATTATTATTATTGTCGTTCCCTCTCAGCCTTCATAAAAACATTTCAGAAATCAGTGACGTCTATTACACTTTGTCATTGGTCTCCAATCGAGCATTTTGATGATGAATGTTCCATAGTGTGCTCAGCACCACATTCGAATAGTATGATACCATCTACTTCATATCTTCATTTTCTTTCGTTTTTTCGCGACCTGTAGTCCTTTGCACCTAATCTGTTAATTGTTTTCCGTATACTCCGGCATATGATCTGTGAGTAATTGATTTCTTCAAATAGGTTTGGTATTGCAATAAGTCCGTAATTAATAGTGACGATAAATTACAATAAATTTATTAAAAAAAAAAATTGTAAAAAACAATAATTGGAGAACAATTAAATATTTGTTTTTTTTTTTTTAAAATGGGAATCGAATTTTAGTTTTATTTTTTTAAATAATAGTTCAAGAGTCCAAAATGGGTCTTCTTGCCACTGTCGGACCTAATACGGGGACTTATAGCCGTACTATGTATTATATTATCTTTGCGAGTTTAAATTACCGAGTTAATGTACCACGCATACACACGTATATTTTGCAGTTATTGTGCCCGTTGTTGTTTTTAATAATATAATAGCCGCGGTATATCGAGAGTTCGACAAAATTGTTTCTGTAATAATTATTTCCCGACATTGTTTCGTTAATAGCTACCTACCGGCTCTGTATATCTAGAAAACGTGTATCTTTCCCAACGAATGTTCTCTTGTCATTGCGTTTTCTGCACGTTCGTCGTAATTAGCAATTAGGTGGATATACGTAGATAGGTGGGTAGGTAGTAATAACGTTTTACCTACTAAATAATAGTATATGAAATATTATAATATATTGTAGACAGACTGAAATTTGAAACGTGTTTCCGTAGACTTGGGTAAAACACTTTTTAAAATAATAATATTCAAAATAATTTGAATTTTTTGAGAAAAACACTCGGAATATCTTAGGAATACACGTTGAAAAAAATGTAAGGTTGAGTTCGAATGACTTTAGGAAATTATAGATATTATTATATGTTATTGATTAATTTTTTTTTTCACAAAGAAATAAATATGTTTATTAGCGGAATACAGTGCTGAACATTTTCTGAAAAAAATTTTATTTTGGTATTCGGAACTATAGCTGTCCCACTCGGCGTTGTCCACACAAAAAGAAATACAGTGAACTAAGTGACTAGTTTCTGTAGTAACTATACCGTTTGTTGTGCATATCATCATTCGTATCAACAATGTAAACCCAAAAATCAACAAAAACAATTCGATTGTCGTACCTAAAATACCGATAACTCTATATGAGACCGCCCCACCGCCCTTAGAAGGGGTTCCCCGTGTATTATATATACGAGTATATACAGTGACGCTGAACGCTATGTTAAAGTCAGGCCTTGGTCTGATTTCTTTTATACAAATTAAGTACAGGGCTGCTTCATTTTAGGCCAAAATTTGATTATCAAACCGAATGAATACTCATTACAGAAATAAAAACCTATTCTAACCATATTTTAGTTATAAAATGGACTGTATTTAGTTATTGAATCCTCCTGAAATGTATTTCACCCAACTACATGTTTACGTCTTCGGTGCCACTGCGAATATGTTTATTGTATATATAAATCTTCGGGAAGAAATGATCTAAATAATAGCGAAACTACCGTATCGAAATCTGTTTCGTATTTTAATGATATTAAAACGCACTGCAGACAGACAGAAATAACGACATTATTTATACTATTATTAGAGTTAATTAATTCGGAACACTACCGATGTCTGTGCGTTCGTTGCATTGTTAATACTGAATTTAATCCGTTTCTTTCCGGAGAGACCGTCATCACTATACAACTACACCATATCCCACGGTAATAATTAATATATTAACACTACTATTTCCGATTTCTTTTTATACTGCAGCATATACAACAACAACAATAATAATATTAATAATTAAAGTTTTCGTATACAAAACCTATTAAATCGTATAGTTCTTGTTTTTCAATTAAGTATAATATAGTAGTGATTATCGATAACCGCACAGTATCAATCGCCGGCATAAATGCGTTTTCGTGAATTATTATGAAATTTAAGTGCGATTCGAACGTCGTGTTTGTATTAATGGTACACCATAATATACAGAACCCGTTCGGAAACCAATAAACGTGTAATAACTCTAGCCGATATTCCAGTGCGACAAGTCGAGATACGAACGACCACCTCGCCTATTTCCTTAGAATTCGGAAGACATTTTTTTCATAAACAAATAAAACATTTTTACGAGCAGCGCAGTCAAATTACCGTGTCACGATTAAGTATTATCGTGTTTATGGATGTTTTTTTTTCACTACGAGAATTTATGATTAGTTTTGTTTTTGCATCTATTAGTATAGTACGCCTATAGATCGATCATCTATGTATGTACACATTGCAATGATTGCACACAAGCTGAAACACGAATAGCTGACCTTTGTCATAACTTTTGTTCTGTGCAACATTTTTGAGTTTTTCATGTCAATGTAATGATCACTAAAGCCTTGCTTTAAACTTTAAGTACCAAACGATAATAGCATTAAACCGGTTTTTCGATAACTGCATTATTCGTCAAAACAAGAAATTGCCTATACACACGACTCCTATATAAAACAATCGGTATCCAATCCCTATAAAATGGCTATTATTCTTTTTCAGAAAATTTATCTGATTGACAATTTACATTAAAACGCGTATATTTTAATTTGAAAACTTAAGTCAGGTATATTCATATAGGATCAATGGCGTATAAAAGGAAGGGTTTTGGGGTTCAACCCCCTCCTCGAAATGTATGGTTGGTACGGCACTCGTGCGTATTTATGAATCTATTTGATCTAAATATTAACTAAAACCCAAAAGCTTTAATAAATATTCGACATTTTATTATTAAAAATTGATTGTAAAAACATTGGGCACGAATTGAACGTTCGCAAAACGATAATTTATAATTTCCAATGCCAGTCTCTAAATTGCCCAAGTCGTCAATCTAAATAATAAATGGTACTAATTTCAAAACGATATTCTGTCACCACACGAGTGCTATGATCACAAGAATTTAGTCCATGATGGTTGAACGGAAATGTTCGCAATATGACGTAATCCGTATATCCATTGGTCTGGTGGCCGCTCTATAATCTCAGGCTCTCCAGTCTCGACAAATCGCTCCAAAACGTTAAGAGTGCCGCAGAAATACAGGCGCCGAGCCTGTTTAGATATTGTTTTCGCGTTACATTGCGTACTGCACTGATCGTCGAATTATTGTCACGGGTGTATAGCTAGTACAGTGCGCAGTTCGTGCTCTGCCCAGTGACATCCTCGTGTCTTTCTCGGTAGAACTGGGTTATATTATTATCATTATATTATTATTATTATTATTATTATTATTAGGTTCTCCTGCGGGGCTCGTTTGACCCATATCGGTCGAAGTTTTTCGTATATATACGCCGATTCGTGTGCCTCGTGTATACTCGTAAGTATAACGTATTTAATATATAAATATACATATATACATACATACACGCCACACTGCTTTCTCTCTCACGTTTGCGGTATACGTGCTGTTTTTTTTTTTTTTTTTTTTTTTAATATACTTTAAAAACGTGACTGGACCCCGGCGCGCAGTTGAGCAATCCGCCACAGCCGGTTACCTATAATATTATATGTATATATTCGTATCCTTATCTCGCACACGGATCCCCTTTATAGGTATATATATAGGTATAGGCAGGTACGGTCTTCTCTTACCGCGGCGACGTGTGTGTATATGTGGTGTGTGTGTGTGTGTGTGTTGTGTGTGTGGACACCGCCTTGCTATACAGCCTATATTATAGTCTACCGAGAGAGATAGAAAAATGAGATGGAAAAGGAAAAAAAAAACGAAAAATAACCGTTGCCTCGGCATTACACAAACACACACATACACACACACACTGCACACGGTATCATGACCTCTACGAGGTGAACTGATATTAGTATATTATGTGTATACGCACTCTCTCGTTTTGATGCCGCTGATGTCGTTGCCGACTCCGGAGCGTATACGATCCGTGTGCGTCTCGTAATTAATTTTTATCGGCGGTAGAAACGGCTTTTTTATGCGACCGCACTCGATGGGGGGAAACGAAACGGCGTATATGTAATTTTAGTCCACAAATAATATTATTATTATTATCTCGTGTGTGTGTATGTGTGTGTGTTTGTGTGATGTAATAATATAGGGATGTTTACGTGCGCACACGAGACGTTTACTTCCAGGATCTCCCGCAGAGACACATGGTAGTGTAATAGGTACTCCGGTACTCCGGCCTTATGTCAGCTGCTTCTATCTCGTCATGTATGAGTTCATGTGAACTCAACAGATTACAATAATAGCGTGACGATTTATCGTAATATATGTATACTATACATATAGGGTGACAACTTTTATTTAACAAATCTGCGAATATTCTGCGTGTATATCGGTGCGAAGATTTCGAGTACATTTGGATTTTGGATTTTTCAATCGGCATTATAAACTGTAATGTAGAACCGTTCAATGATCTCATTTGAAACATTCAAATACCGGTCTTTATTTTGTACACTTCAGTTCAAAAACTGAATTATGTTTTTCTACAATTAATGTTGAATGTCGATGATAATATGCCTACGTCATATCAGATTATAACCGTTTGAAATTTAAACCGGGAAAGTAGAGAAGAGTAAAAATTAGTCGCACGACTATATATTATTCTGTATTTTCAATACGAAATGTTATTCGAAAACTAATAATAACGTGTTTACGGTGTAAAGATAATATTTTGAAAGTATATTAATAATACGATCGTTTTTGTAGAAGAGACCCAGTGGTGCCGAATCAGTATTGAAATGGTCTGGTCGTATCAGTCCTGACCACCACACGTATTTATTTAGGTACACGTAGGATTAGGACGTGTGGTCACTTCGTCCTCGCCCGTAACTCTTTTCTCCATCACCAAACGTTTTTTAACATTTATACTTGCTATATATTTGCTATTGAAAATCGTGTAGTTTAAACTATTCTACCATTTTTATTGCATATATTTATCGATTTTCGTGCATTATAAAACCAAATCTTAAGATTATGAAAATAATGATTTTAAACTGTTTTGTAATAAAAACTCAAATTACGACTGATACAAGCACATTAAACATATTATTTGTAGAATATGTTATAATATATACACGGGAGACAAATTCTATCCGTTAACCATTAACCACCATCACTACTGGACCCACCTCACCACCGCCCCAAAAATATGGAATGTTCTTGATCAAATCTGAACCTCTTGTTCGACGCCACTGCAGGAAAAGAATAAAATTGAATCGCCGGTTCGTGCAGATATGAGCGAATCGCTCTGCAGCACCACGGACGCCCGCAGAGACGGCAGGAGATATAACGAAATAATGACGACTGCGACTACATAATATTCCATTTGTATGAATGATATATGAATAAAATGATTGTATTATGGATTTTCCAACAACCGAATTATATTGACACGGTAGAAGCATCCGAAAACGGCTGTTCATATACTTTACTGCTGCTGGCGGCTGAACATAATACGGTCTCGTTAAATTAGTTCGTAAAGTAATAAATAAAACTTAACACGAGCCTATATTATAATAACGTGACGTGCGCTGTGTGGCCATCGTCGGGAAATTTATCGTTAAAAATTACGATATGGTTTCTCTCCGTTCGTATAATATATATATATTATGTAGTTAACGGATTACGCGCCCGTTTTTTATCCTCTTCGTTTTCGTTTTGAGCAGTAGGTGCCCATACTCATTTGTAACATTGCATATACATAATAGGAATACACTACTCTACTCGTATTATATATTTTTACGGTGTCGTTGAAATTGCCGTGCCACGAACATGGCGTAAACAACGAACACTGCAGGTTAGAGTGGGTTAGGTTTATATAGGTTGGTCTTTATATTATTATATTACGACGTTAACGATAATAGTATTACCGCGACCCCTCCCCCGCCCCGAGAATCGAGATAACGCACAAATTGCGATGTTATTCCGCCCGTGTATTGGTCGTGGGTCGTGTGTTGTGTAAAGATAATAATGAGAATAATAATAATAATAATAATAATACAAAAAATGGGTTAAATATGAGATTTTATCGCGTATATACTCTGAACGTACGTAAACGTTGAAGATTTATTTCTGTTTATTATTTCGAATTCCTATTGGACTGCATATAAACTATTTTTTTATTTTACTTTGTTAAACCGTGTATTTCACCCTATATACCCGAAACGTGACCTCTTGGACCACAGAACAATTTAGGCTGGAACAATTAGGCAGAACAATTTTTGGACCATGCAAAGATGCTCGAACTGGGGTATGAAGGATAAGACTCGATCGATAACTCCGGGATATTATTCAACGCCCTAGTATCATAAATTTAACTTCAACGAGGAAAATTAAATAGACAGGTTTCCCATGGAGAAAGTAAGAATCACATTAATAAGGACTGAAATCGAAAATAATCCAACAGAAAATCTACCACTAAGAAAATCTCGTTGAAGATGGGATGATTGTATTGTCAAGGATGTAGGAGTAATGAAACTAGTGGGAGTACAATGAAAAGAAGGGCAGTGGAGGACAGAAATATATAGAGGAGTATTTTATTGGTAAGCCGGTCTTAAAAACTGTTACTCCTTAAAAATAAGAAAAGAGAAAATTGTGTCCAATATAACGAGAAAATTAAACAAAAATTCTGTTTAACGTTTACGACTGACTTTGTACCGTGTTAGTCTATGTGATACAATGAGGTTTTGATTGATTATTTTAACTTTAAAGTCTCGAACCTTGAATTCACATTATGTTATTGTACCGCGTATATTCAAATGACAAATGCGCATAATCCCTGCAGTGAAACTAAACGTGTTTATAATACGTATGCACTACGCATTTGTTGATTGTATTTAATCTGATTGATTTGTCCTCGGTCGTCGACTCGACCCAAATTTAATAACCCGTGGTAAACATCAGTCCTGCAGCTGCTGCTATGTAATATGCATTACATACAATGACAGCAGAACATGATAATATATTATGTTCATATGTGCACAAGACGTATATCACAAAGACAATTTTCATATTTTAAATATATCAAATCTTTTTGATACATCCTGTATGGCTGTTTATTTATATACACCGACCATTTTGTGTTAAAGAATTAAATAAATAATATAAGTATGTTCAACGAGACTGCGCGTCGAAAACATATTCCGACGACACTGCTGCAGATGGTATCAAAGATGCGTACTACACGACAGCGATTTTTCCCGTTATTCGGTTTTCTTGATTTAAATTTGAAACGTAAAATTATATTTGAAAAATTATCTTATCGTAAAATAATAGAAGGTGGTTTAAATTCTGCCACTGTTGAATGCAAACTTATCATTATCGTTTTCGATAATCGCATTTGCGGTGGTGCTGACCCAGCTTTCACCAGCACCATCTGAAAACGCGACCGCAAAACCGTGTTTTTGTTGTTTTTTTTCTGTTTTTAAAATGTCTGCAATTTGATTAATAATTAATCCGATCGGGACAACACGATCCTTCGTGGTTTGTTCCGATCTGTTGACGTCCTCTCTATAGTTTGTACAATATAATAATATATATTATGTATACAACTACTGCGCATTATATGATGCGAAAAAAAATGAGATATGTATGGAGCACGGTCGAAATCTCTAAATTTAAGCGAATTTTGTTCATGATTTTTGTGAGTTTCGTCAAAAACTCAAATTAAACTCGAAAAAAAACAGCGTGACATACGTTAAACTTTCACCCGTTACCGGGAAAAAAAGTACTGTACAGTAATATCGAACAATTATTTCATCGATTCGTTGACTACATTCGAAATGAGTTCCCGCAATATTATAATATGCAACGTTTGATTGGAACAAGTCTTCGCCGGTCGAAAATCCGTTTGCGGACATCAGAAACAAAAAAACACGCGCAATTTAGTTATAAATCCGCAACGCACAATTTCCTCGCTCAGCTCAGAATCTATAACGTGTCTTCTAAATCACCACCCGACTTGTTGGAAACAAGTCACACACACACCACACACATTATACCCGTATACTGTTAAATCTTCGTCGACAGTTTTCGTTAATTGAATTATGTATGAACTCTGAATATAATACGTATTATGTATATTATGTATATTATAGTAATTCGAGACGTCGTACCGTATATATTATTGTATAGTGTATACACGCATATTATATGAGATACGCTCCGTCGTGGTAATACGATACCGGACAGAGAAAGCAGGAAACATCGTTTATTACAATATTATTTATATTTTATTTTATATTATATTACGGGCGATTGGCGCCGAACCGTTTTGTCCGTTATCTTCGCCGATATCCAATTGTGGTGGGGCGGATGGACAAGAGGGGGGGGTGGAAATAAATACATATAATAAAAAGCTAAAAAATCTCGTCTATTCGATACTGCAACTGGCGTGTGTATACAAATCAACCTTGTCGGGACGAAACGCGAATAATATTATACTTATATACATATACATGTATTTATTTTCCTACGTTATAATATTGTTTATATTTTTTAAAGACCGCAGCCGTGTAAATACGATAACAGACTTATAAAAAAAAAAAAAAAGGAATAATAAAAAAGTCTACATACACCGCCGCCGTTTCCTTTTTTTTTTTTTTTTTTTTTTTCATAATACGTCGCAGCATTTATATTTTGAAACGCCCGATATGCGCAGTCGTCGGCGGACTCGACGCGGAGTTTCGCAACTTTTCAATTTGCGGATATCGTGACTTGTCCGAGTCGCGGTTAACGCCCCGGGCGGCTAAACGTTATAATCATTTTGGTATATAATACGCTATACAGGTACTTTATTACCTATACATAATATTATACGGCTATCGTAATACTCGCGAAATGTATCGTACGACCCACTCGTCGATAGTATTATTATAATATTATTTGTGCACAATGATATCGTCCTGCAGTCAAAACCCGGAACGTGTAATTTACTATTTGAACTGCCGCAAAAACCGTCGCGTCGGTACCCGCGGTGTTACTTTTATAATTTTATCGGCGGCGGCGGAGAAGACGTCGAAATTTTTAGTTTGTACACGCGATAAAAAGGCCGCGTAACATCATTTATACGCAATAATTATAATGTATACATCGACTGAAAAAAAAAAAAAATAAATACAAATGGTACTTCGTTTTTTAAAAATAATATCGTCACGACATGTTCCTTCCGTTTTGTCCCCTGGCAAGTGTCGAATTCAGCGGCGATTAACCCAACCAAGAGGGATCGGAGGGTGCGGTCGCACAACCGGACCCGTTCGCTCGAGGGGGCCCGAAGTATTACAATGTTTTTTAATTAAAAAATTTAACTGTTTTAAATTATTATTGCTATTTAATTGTTATGTTATCCATGTAATGTTCATGACTAGGGCTCGGAAGTTTTTACAGTAAAACATATCCAAAATTGCACTTAAAAAATGAATTATTGCTGTAAAAATACTTGAAATCGCTATAAATTATTTTATTTACCAAACAAATATAAAAATATTTCACGTTTTGAGGAATTAATAACTCGTGCATGGTCTTATCAAATAATATTTCCACCAATGCCATCACAATCGACAAAACCCGAAATAACCGCCAATTATTATACTTTTCTGGCATATATTAATATCTGGCAAGACGCCTATAGTTATTTTGTTTCAGTGGTGTAAGTATCAAGGACAGGCCTTTTAGAGGTTTCAACTTTTTCAACCCCCTTCCCGATCATTTTTACGCTAAAATTTCGTGTTTTCACAGGAAGTACCGGATTATAAATACAGGGGTATTACACATATATATGTATATAGAGATAGACTAAAATGTAATGATGATGATATTACATCTGAATTTCGATTGAAATAACGTATGTTCGTTACGAAACACGCAAATTTGAACGAAAATTTGTCTCCGTTTGTTCATATTTTATTTCATGGGTTTGTAGTATGGCTACATCCGCCTATATCATCCTATATCCGCCAACCCGAACGTGCCTAATAATAAAGTCACCCGGTTTTGAGGTACAGAATTATAGTTTTTCATATATTATTTGAAATGTTGAATATCGGGACGTATATTATTTACTGACTATATAATATGTATACTCACATATTGTGTACACAAATGCCATTAAAAAAAAAAATATTTATATATATTTAAGAAGAACATAATATTATGTTATATATGTTCTGCGCGATAGATTGCTTCAGTACTCGATGGTATTAAAAATTCGTATTTCTGTACATACACTCTGATACCGGTATTGGTACTGATACTGGTACCTACATTAGCGTTCGTTTAATCTTTGATAAGTACAAACGTATTGTTTAAACGTTGATAGCCAACAGCAGCTGCGCACTGTTTGTTTTAGATTTATATATATATATATATATTTTTTTTTTGGTGAATCGGTGTATCCACAATCGGGGTGGTGTAAACGAAATCTCCGCACTTATCGGAAATATACGCTCACGTATCGTACGCTTACGATCAGCTCACGCTTACTAATCATAATCCGATTGGTTAGAACATCTTCACCTTTACCGCCACGTACTTTACAAACTCTTTGCTTGCAGTAGACACTATTATCATCCGTATATTATTATTGTGTACATAAACACGTCTCGCGGGAAAAAAATACCACGCCGACGTCTTGTAGAATAGTTTAATTTCGTTGTTTTATTATTATTATTATTTGAAAGAGGTGCTTAGTTGTGTAGGTTACGTCGAACTCCGATTTTCAAAATTCAAATCACTAGAAAAATAGAAACTTTATTGACAGTCTGATTAAATTTTCGTTATTTTTTAATCTTTATTTCTGGCATTACATATACGGATTAATAAAATATCAGAGCTCAATGCTACCAGTTAAAAGTTGCATTCTTCCTATTTAAATTTTAAAATAAATAATATACATATAAATTTAAATTGGAGTATTACGAGGTGTGAGAGTTTTTTCGGTGAAGTCATTTTCGTCAGAAAAACAGCCGTACAGTATATCGAACAGTAAATTAGTAGAAAAGTCTTATTTAATTATGCAGTAGTCATAGAAATGTTAAAAATAATATTAAAATTTAGAAAACCGGCCCTCGAACAGCCTTCTATAGGTACACATATAGTTTAATAGATTTTTTTTTTTAATCATTTCGAATCTGTCATACGTAAACGGAGATTAAACCGATAATGAAACTTCAAATTATATACGTTATCACGATATTGCTTTATCAAATTTCGCACCGTCATTCATTAGCCTTCACGATTCGCGTAATTATACCTTAAGTAAGGTGTTTTTTTTTTTTTTTTAGATTTCCATCTCCGTTTCTCTTTCTTTTGTTCCTTACAAAGCGCGTGATGTATTTTGGCTAAAAATTCTAGTATAATTTTTTTATTTTTGTACATCATATTTATATTATCAATTATTATTAATTGTAAGTATATATTGTATATTGAAAAATAATATTAATTTTCAATAAAACCAAAATATAACAATTCCTTAAAGAAAACGATGTTTAGTATCAGTACAATATTTTGATCATCTCGAAAGTCAAACTTTTAAAAGTGAACATGTGATGGTTAGCACAGAGTTTTTGATATATTTAAAATAAAAATTGAATTATTTTTTTTTTCTGATTCACCAATTATTACTTGACGACACGGTTGAAAAAAAGCAGTTATCATTATTTGAAATTTGATTTTTACGAGCAAGGATAAACGACAAACCATCGGGAAATATAACGATTAACCGCGGATAGTGGGTGATAAGGACTTGAAACGATGTAGACGCGTTAAATTGAATTTATTTTATGGATTTTGGCTTTTAAACCAATTGATCTTGGGGAAAATCCGGGTAACTTAACTGTATATTCTATTAAATGTATACTTTTATGATAATACGATAGTTTACAGAATCGCGATGTCAAGTTCACGTAATATTTAGACGATTGAACTTCCGTGTCATCGTCGCGTTGTCGTCTTCTTTTCACGAAATCACGACGCATGTTTCCGTCGGCACGACGACAATATTATTATTATAATCTTTACCGGACTCGTTGTGTGTGTGTGTGTGTGTGTGTGTATGTGTGTGTGTGTTGTTAATATTATACGAACGTTTGTGTTTTTTAATTGACCGAACGTGACTTCCTCGACGTTTCGGACACGGGTCGTGCGTGCCACCGTCGTCGGGCTCGGCCGTGACAAGCGAAGGCAGCAGCTGTACTTCGGCGGCGATGGCCAGCGAAAGAGCAGTGACTCGCCGATCACTATACATAGACGTTTATTTTGTTTGTATTTTTTTTTTGTTTTTTGTTTTTTAGTTTTTGCGCGGCCACTCGTTCCAGTGACTTTGAGTCACGTGTATTCTGCGCCTGTATTATTATTACTATGATACGCGAGTATAAAATAGTATATATGTATATATATATATATATATATACTATCGTGAGAAAACTATGCAATATAATGTATACAAGTATACTCCGTCATCGAAACATACAACTTATAAATATCGGTACACATTAATAATATAATTGAGAGTATAGTTTACATTTTAGTGCGGTTAACGCGCGAACCTGCAGCAGCAGTTTGGTGATATTGGAGAACATGGAATTTTGCGATTGCGCGGTAAAAAAAAAAAAAAAAAACAAACTATAACCGAGTATAATTTTGATGTTTTATGAGTAAAACGAATGTTTTACGTTTGATATTTCGCAGGTGGCTTTTCCGCGGACTATGCATAATACAGTGTAGGCAGTAAATCGACAAAGGTGGTGGAACAGCAGAGCTGCAACTGCTGCAAGTAACGAAATAATTAATTTTACTCGTTAAAAATTATAGAAGTTAAAACTCGGCGAAACAAAAAAATGTCTTTTGTCGTTACAACATTGTTGTACTGCGACGTTAGCCAGGACGCCACACCTGTCTCAACTCTCCTTTTTACAAACGCGTAACAATACCGAATTAGCGTTCAGTAGAAGATACACGAGTATTTTGTACCGTTTATTTTAATAATATATTAGAGTGTAAATCGACCTATTACCAAAATTAAATGTAAAAACATTATCTGCGCCCCCGCGTCGGGATTTTTCCGATGTATTAGACTGTTATGTGACGTGTGAGTGTATGGTCCGTAAACTATTACAATATTGTAAAATTGTTTACATCCAATATGTTATAATTATTATATTGCACATTATATAAATATTATAACCGCATACAATTAAACTACGGATACAGTAGTCGGTGCGGGCGTGTCGTTCGATTAAATCCCGAAGCTGTGCATTTTGCTGGCGCATAATAATCTATAGAAATTTAAATGCATTTTTTTAATGACATTGTTATTGTTTTGATTTTTGATTTTCGAGAGGTTCCGAATAATATTCTTGTCGGCGCCGCGTCAGGCGCACATTTTTATACTACGCAATGATGAAAATAATATAAGTCGAGTCATTCGATTTTCGACGTGAACTCGCTTGGGCGTGCGATGACAACACAACAATTAAAATCGGTTTTGATCGGCTGATTGTGTATAACATTATTAACAATGGAACGCGGTCAAGTAATAATGTCAATTTATCACTATTAAATTGTTATTTTTTTTTTTTTTTTTTATTTTCTTACGTTTTCTCTGTGTAGTATAACGGTAGACATATCTTATATGCGATTACGGAACATCATTATTAAAAATAAAATAGTCATCCCGTAAATATATTTTAATGGACGACAGTGTTCGTATCATTGTCTAATACTACTGCAGGCACGCGGCCCTATGTACCTGTGTTATTATTGGTTAGCGCCGTCCGCAATGGTTTGGAACGAAAAGGACGAAAAATTCGCAGTCTTGCGGCAAATTTTTCGGAACAAACCCTCTTCTCTCTGAAAAAAAAAACACTCGTAGTTCAATCAAATTCAATTCGACGTAGACAAATATCTATAAGCTACTTTACATATCGGTACATCGCATAATATTATTCAAGTCGGTTTTTTCTATACCTATACGTCTTATACACGTGTTGGAAACTAGTGATGATCAAACTAAGACTAAAGCAGCCTTGGTCTTGTTTCAATCTTGTTCTTGCAGACTTAATCTTAGTCTTGATATAACAACTATCTTAGTTTTGGTCTTGGTCTTGGTATTTCTATAATGCCAGTACCATATTGGTCTTGGCAACACCCAAGACCTGCAATTTTGATCATCATCACTATATTTGAAATCAGCGTACCGGCTTTACTACTATAGTTATGGCATTATTTTGCATTTATGATTGAATTAAAATTGATATATACATACGTTAAATAAATAAACGATAAATCATTTTTAAAAAAATGCAGAAATAATAACGCTTTTGTCGACAACACAGACGAGTAACGCGCGTAGCGGCGTGTGTGTCGATGCGTAAAAAAATGGGATTGCTGTATATTTAATATACTTTACGCGATCTCAGTTATGATAATGATTTGTAAAAATGCACATGAATCTATAAAAAATCTTTATTTTTTTAACATCGTGTTCTGTTTTTACGCATCTCGATGAATAAACGCATCTCGATTCTCGGTGTATATTTATAAATACTTATTACCTCCTGTACAGTTATATTTTCGAGGAAAATAACACGACTTAATAAAACTGCAAATAGTTTCTCGTGTACGCGCAATATTTATGTTGGCACATGCTCACCTTAATTCGAACATTTATCGAATTTATTGTCAAATGGTGCGTTAAATATGCGTTTAGATACGGAGTGAAATTGACCCACAATGAAACAACGAACTTTCAAAATTGGCATAAAATCATAGAGTCAAAAAATGTATTTCTAAAATTAATATTTTTCTATTGTATTGTATATCTGACATAAACAAAGTTAATAACATAAGATCAGTTTTTTTGTAAAGATGTTTATAAAGAAATAGCTATTAAATTTATTAACGAAGTATGTAAAATGTCTAATTGAATGTTTTAAATTTTAAAATAGTCTTAGTTATCATCATTATCATCGTTTAATATAATAGGAACATTCAACCTGCAGTTTTTATTTTTTTTAATAAATTGTTCTTCCAATCTATGTGCCGTTTCCCAACGAGATTTATATTCTGATTTAAAATAGCACAACTTTTTATTCGAATCATTCTGTTCATAATTTTTTACTGGTTTTTCAATATCCTTTTTTATAAAATTGAATTATTCACCAATTGTTTCATATCCAGAACTTGTCTTCATAATATTGTGTACTTCTAATCAGGGTATTAAAATATTTTTCAAACTCAATACTACACAAAAAGATATTAACTAATTATGACGTTTGTTTTCATCAACTATATTTTACAAGTATAAAAAATAAGGCACTAGTGTAGTGTGTGACTTCAAATAACCACGACCTATCAATAACAATAATGATATACCAATACTTATGACATAGTTACCGATATATATATATATACGTACCTATTATAATATTATTATTTTCGATAATACGGATAGTATTGTACGCTTCCTAGAGATAAAATTAACTTATTTTAGATAATAAATCAGTTACATTTCGACTTTTAAATACTATTGGTGGTGTTCCCTCCCCCCCCCATTTTTACAAATCGAAAAAAGGGGAATTGCACGTACAGGTGGACGAGTGTGTTTTATATCAAGAAAAAACTATCTTTTTCTTTATTTTTATTAACTTTAAACGCCATTGAGGCCTATGGCTTCAAAACAGACTTCCTTCCATTTCTTTCTATCTTAAGCTACTTCGCTAAAGCCGTCTACCCCTAGATTTTCTAATTCTATTTTGTTTTTATCGATCTATCGCTGTTAGGGCTTTTCTTTTGGTCTTTTCCCGTGGGAGTTCTATTTTAGCACATAATTTGCTATTGATTTGGTTATTACAATGTGACCAAGCCGACTCATTCTTTATGTAGATTATTATCTACTATTACATCTAGTTTTCCAAATAGTTTCTGGACTTTCTTATGTTTGATCTGATTTTATATAATTATTGGGATCCATTATATTTTTATTCGGGCAGTAGATTCTCCTAAGGAATTTCCTCTCTAAAGAAAGAAAAAGGACAATTAAACTATTTTATTATTCATTTTTCGGGTTTCATAGATTAAAGTGGCGATGGAGGTGGCACAAAAAAATGGCGATGGTGCAACCTATTCCGTTATCAGCGGCAGTGGAGAACGGGGTCGGTCGGTAAATACTATTTGGCTCGATGACGTGCAAACTAAAAAGGAAATGCAATAATAATATAAATACTATTTTAATATATTTGACCGAATGACCATCATCCATCTCACTTAGCCGCGTATATGGTATCATTGATATTGTTCGCTTGTGTCTCGCAATAGTTCAGGGCGAGCACCGGCACTCTGCTATACAAGCGTACAGATTATTTTTATATATACAAATATTAGATTTTGATTTTGCAAAAATCGTGTATATTAAATTGATATCTAATATATTTACAATTATTCTTTTTACGAAATTACACCCTTATCCATGTATTCAGCAAATAAACACCATTTAATATATCGATTATTGATTTTCAAATATCGACTCTCCACTTCTTCTTAAACTGTCTGCAGATTCAAATTGAAAATCGTTTCACTTTTTCCAGTTTACACTGTCCAATGATGTAAATAAAAATAATTACCCTGTATAACATGTGAACGCGATAATTATAAAATAACATTATGCACTGTGAACGGGTCATATACCTACGGGTAGTTACAAGTCCTCCAACCCAGCAAAACCCGGTCGGTCACGCGTGGGAGGCGATCTCCACGGTGCCCGCGTCCTGCTGCGATTATTTTTTATCTACTCGTATATAAACTATAAAAAATAATATTATGTTTTATATAATATGTGTATACATACGTGTTTCTCGCATTTTGGATAAGTTATTTTCGCTAGAGTCGGCAGAGTACATGTGTGAGTGTGTGTGTGTGTGTGTGTGAGTAAGTATAGTTCACGTGCTATAGTGCAAAATCATTATCGTCGCAACATTTTTTAAAACAATTTTTTAATACCTATCCATATCGTCTCTAACGGTCAGATCGAAATTGTCGTATTCATATTGACCAGGACAATATTTTAAAAAGTGTTTCGTCATAATACCATGTGATGTTCAAAATATCAACCAGAAACATAGGTACCTAAGCGTATAGACACGAAGAATAAAATAAAGTTAAAACGAAAAACTCGTGTACAAGTTTCCCACGGAAATATTGTCATAATTATTTTATTTTGAATATGTTTTCTTTAAAATCATTCTAAACAGTAGTTTTTTGCCAGTTTTATATACAAATGTATTTAAACAGATTTCACTATTTTAACACGCATGTCACACTGTAAGAAACGCCATACGTTGATTTATTTAATACAGCGATACATTTGAATATTTTCGAGTAGATCAGTTTTCAAAGTAAAAAAAAGTTCTGAAAATTGCCTATACGAGACCCCTTGAATGCCGAGCGTAGGACGTCCTCCTATAAACAATATCCGGTCGAGAACAAAAACACACAGCCAATGAAAATTACAAAATTGCATATGAAAAACGATTCTGAGCGAAGTTTGGTTAAATATATTTTGATAAATTTAAAATCATATTAATTTGCAACTCAAAAATAATTATTACTGTAGTTCGTGTTTTTATCAAGTTTCAACATAAATTTGATTTTAAAATAAATTTTTATCTGCATAAAACAAAAAAATAAAACCGAACATGTCACATAATTGACGCTACCAATAACTGAAAATACACCAGTATATTTTCAAAAATATACAAAATCTATAAAGTGTTAAGCATTGGTGTATTAAAAGCTGTTTTTATAGGTGAATGTTTCAGTCGTCGACGATTATTTTCCACGGAATTACAACGGGAAAAAAATCAAAAAATCGCCTCCTCAATGCGCCGAGTACACACAGTTTGCCATCAGCGAAAACCCCCGTAAATTTAATAATCTGAGTAAGATTTCTGGTGAAAAGAAAAAACGTATTTTCAGACCCGAAAATAAAGAACCCGTCATTATAGTAAAACCGACACATTCCTCTCGCTACGCTCGGGATCTAGAGTTTAACCCGCGGGCGGAGCGAGGGCGACAGCTTCCCGTTCTCACCCTGTCGCCCTCTCTCCCACGAGCATACCTACGAACGAAAACAAAAAGAACCTTACGAACCGACAAAGAACGCCCTTTTATTTCCAGACCAATTTCTCGCGCTTGTGCCGCATGTCGCGCGTGAATGCATAGTACTATTATAATATAATGTATAGTTTACAGGAGGCTATTATTTATAATTTACAATTATTCTACACGCGTCAGCGGTCGTCCCTCTGTTATAATATTTTTTTCGTGTACGCGTGTATATCAACGTTTTTTTTTGTTTTCTATATATACACGTTGAGTTTACTGACAGTAGTATATTCTCGGTGCGGGGCGAAGGGCCGAGAGGGTTCTCCTCTCCGGTGGTTAGGTGTGTGTGCTATTATATGTAATACAGTACATACGTCTTAACGGTACGCCGCAGTCTAAATACGGTAGGTTTATAAACCTATAATAATAATACGGACAATTGTAATAATATTATCCTAATGTGTATACCGCGCGTTCAAAATTCGAGACCGTGTAAAGGACCGACCGTCTTCGTCGAACGTCGTGTTGTTGTTCTGATGAGGTCGTCGTCGGTGGCGGCGGCGATATAACAATAATAACGCGCGACCCTCGGACCATAACGTTTTTTTTTTTTTCCTTCAGACCTCGTCGGTCGGTTCGTGTCGAAAATAAAAGAAAAATTAAAAACTAAACTAAAAAAATACCGATTTATATTATAATAAATATTATATTATACATAATATTTTACTATATTTTTTTTCTTTACCCCGTTTCATTCATTCTCCCTGTTTCCCCCACCCCGCCCCCGTGGACAATGGCCCGCGTGTTGTCGTAATACACAATAATATATGTATGTATATATATATATTACTATACGTACTGTGCAGCAGATTAAAAACAATAAATCAGCGGTAATATATAATATTATATATTGGTCACGGTCACGGAGTGTGCGGCTCGAAAAACTCCGACAAAATCGACTCTGCGCGATTTAATTCGAGTCGTGTGATGTCGAGGGTTAAAATATTATTTTCCAGGTCACACTGTTATATTGCTCCGGAGTGTCCGCACATTTACATTTTATATACTTGCGTCCTATATTCGACCTTTCACTATCGCGGAGTCTTGATGGAAGTCTTGGCACGGACATGACGTATTTCACGACGATTATTGCACGTGCTTTACATGTTAGCCAAAGTAGTAAAAGTCGAAAACCTATTAAACTTCGTTGACTTCATTTTGTCGCGGTCCTTCGATTATTATTCACTGTTAATTTTGGTCGTTATTTGTAATTGTTACCGTATAAATGTAACCGGCCCGCATTAATATTAAAAAAAAAAAAATAAATAAATAAAAATAAATTTGGCAATAATCTTAATGCGTTGACATATTATAGTTTTTCGATAAAATGTGAGACGATGTAATCTTGTAATTTTCAATTATATAAATTCAAAGAAAATACAATTTTTTTTAGTATATTATGTAGAATCCGAGTTAAATTTAAGTTAACATTCTTTTGTTAAATTCAAATCGATATTTTCATAATTTTCAACAAAATAACTGACAATATTTAGATTTCGTGAATATTTGAATTTTATTAAAATGTCTTCATTTTTTTTTTAATATATAAGTATAATTTTGTAACGAGTCGAAAAAACTTTTCACAAAAATGTATAAATAACAAAAAGAGCCAAAATAATTTTGGAAATTACATAGCTTTCTAAAAAATGTCCGTGAACAATATCCAGTGAAAATTTCAAGTCTATAATTATTTCTTACTGAGTTTCAACAAAAAATAATAACAATATGGATTTTTCAAAAATACACCGGCGATCCATCGTAATTATTCCCATTTCCTCCCCCCCCCCCCCCGTTTTTTTCCGTTATTAAAAAAATCACGAGGAATATCAAAAAAAAAAAAAAAAATACCACCTCCCTAATTAGGTCCAAAACGCTCCATTCGGAATCTTTAAGAGAAAACAAATTATTTGTACTTCGAATATTTCAGATCGCGTGGTTTGCAACGTAAATTATGTTAAAGTATATTATACTCTTTTATTATTCGCACACTGTCGAGATAAATAACATAAACGCATAATAATAATAATAATATTGTAACATTTTGTTTTTACTTTTCCGCGTCTAATTAAAGACTTTATAATATATAGTGATTACTGATTACCATTAAACGTAGCTCGAGGACAGAGTACTTAGTCTGCAAAATCAAATTAATACGTCATGTTATTACCTCGTATATTGTGACGTTTTCGTTTAATTACAGTGCGCTGCCGCCGTAACGTAACACGCCCTCGTATTTTGTCGCAACATACGTAATAATATGATATTATATTGAATAAATCAGCTTTTATTTTGTTTTGCTGAGATTCTGAGCGCAGCGAGAAATGTATCGGTTTTACTACAGCGCGTGCGATTAATTAATTAATAATTTTTTTTGTCTGCAGACAACTTTTCTACCGAAAATATTGCTCCGATCGAAAAACGACAAGGAAGCTTTTAGACAGCATTTTAAAGCTTTTAACCATTTTATACCCAGAATTGGTGGGGAAACGTTGAGAATGTAGGTTTTTTAGTTTTCCTAATAATTGAAAAAAAAAAACGGGAAGGTTTACGGCATTAAAGATTTCGTTATTTTCGATTGTGTTTTTTTTTTAGTTTCGGAGCGGAGCGAAGTATCAAAGTGTATCATCTTTTCTAGTTAATGCGTTAGGTTCATTTGGTAGGTAGGTACCTTTGAATACAATTGTTTGGCTTAACAATAATGTTTGAAAATTTAATAGGATGTTCATTATAGGTTGTACCTAGAGTGGTAAAAAAAAAGTTGAGTGTAACGTAGTTTTTAACTGGTTTAATAATTTTAATATTACATTTAAATGAAAATCAAAAATATTACGGCTTTTCAAAACTTGTGTAACCGAACTTTGCTCCGAATCGTTTTTCGTGCTTACGGATATAAACTAAACGACTTTATGTATCCCATCTTTTTGTTTGTCTCATATGCATTCGACTTAATCGTAAAACATAATAATACAATTAAATACCGACACAGATGTATACTTAGAACCTATGATGCTCAGAAACATTTCTTTTTGACTCAAATGGCGCCCAATAATATCGGAGTTGATACACGCAGGTTATTCGTTGTTATTTGATATTTTTCTATTTTCGGGACCGATCGCAAAGTAATCTGTGGATCGACACGTCCGACGAAGGAAAACCGGAGGTAGTTGTCGAGCATTTTCATACCGGCTTTATGTGTTATGTCACCCTGTATAATAATACTCTTCAACATTTAATCTGACATATAAACATTGTCTACGTGCTGCACTCGGCACCTGCAGCAGCATTTATACGCCTCGCGATATCAAATAACCGTCTCCAGTGGTGCATTATATTATTTTTATTGTACTCAAAAAACTACAAAAGAATAATATTTCTTTTCTATTCCCGGATATGATCGTTTGTTGTGCGACGTATTCCAATACACAAGGTAAAATACGAATCGTTACCTGTATAATATTTCATAAAAGGGTCTTGCGTATTTCTCATCGCATAGGCAAATGCAGGATGTGATTTTTTTTCACGAACCTTTACCGTATAGTATACATATAAAATCTTCACATATACCTACAGTGTATACGGAGATTTTATATGAATTTGTATTAGATTTTTTTTTTTTTTTTAATTTTACCCCTATTTAAGTTCCGTATATAGACCCCATATCAAAAACGCGTCTGCATCAGTGACATAGAATTTTCAATGGGAGAGGATGGAGCAATTAATAATCATGATTGATGATAATAGTTTGAAGACTCTTTTTCTATTGCACGTATAACTCGACAATGAGAATTTATATGGCGTGTTCAATAAAACCAATATTTATTGAAGGAATTAAATTTTTTCCGTGTGACTTGCCTGAAATATATAATTCCAAGCTAAAATGACTAATTATCATATGTATATTATTTTTAAGCGAATGCAGAGGATATGGCCCCTTACGGGGCGTAAGAGGTGGGGACCACCACCACGTGAACGATTGCACGCCATAACATTATCAACTTTGGATTTTATATAAATATATATTCTATTCGTATATTTTCTCCATAACCACTGACCGTCGTGTAATTCATTGACGATGGTCGTAACCGCACTGGTTAACCTAGCGTTTTTCGTCGACAAAATAGAAGCTGAGTGTGAGTTTAGAAGGCGGGGTGATATGTGCATTCCTAAGCGGTCGTAAACGCATCTGTCTCTTTTGTCACCTATGGTATTCATAATAATATTATATTGTGAGATCTGTAATAGTATCGTATATCTATTCAAATGTCCAAAGCGGACTAAACCGTGTACCTTTATTGTGTGCAGCATGCGAGTATACTTTGCCAAATATTTCGCGCGCGTTTCGAATTTTCACACACACCCTAAAAAAAAAAAGACACACCCGTTCGTTTATGCGCGTGTGTGCGTTAATTTATAACGGTAAAAATATCCGTTTATAGTTGTATAGGAATACGCGCGATTCGTATATTATTATATGTATACACATATACCTAGGTAATACGCTTGCGCGCTAGAAGTGGAAAAGTGCCTCCGGGGCCGTTCGATCTATTAATTGGCCGCACACTCCGTGTGCCGAATTCGTAGGTTTTTTTTCCGTTTCTTTATTTCATTTTTTTTTTTTTTCTTTTTCTTTTAGACTACAACAACAGCCAGATGTGGGCCGTCACATTATTCCGACAGATTTGTCGGGGTATTTCTTTATTATTATTTTTTTTTTTTCGGCGGCCTAAAATAATAATAATTATTATTATTATATTTTATTATATTATCGTTGTTATTATTATGCGACCGCTCGCTCGCGCGCCGCAGTCCCCGGGGCTGGGCCCCGTGTGTGCGGTCTCTCCTCCGACGATGCCGACCACGGAAACTGGTTTGTCGTCCGCGTGGAAACGGAATAATCTGCCCGCGCGCGCGTTTGGACCTATCGGAAACGGAATCTCTGTGCCCGTGTGTATATAATATAATATATATTATTATTATTATTATTATTATTATTATTATTATTATTATATGTTGAAGAACGACCCGACCGAGTCGGAACACAATAATATAATAATATATACTCGCGGCGAATATCGTCTTCCAACTCGCTTGTCGCATAAATCTCGCTTCTCGGCCGACGACGACATGGTTTTTTTTTCTTCTACCATTTTATATTGTTGGTAGTTTTGTGTGACACGGAAACGGGACGACGACGACGACGATCGCCGCGAACCGAGAAAACCGTCTTTTTTCACGTATAAATATCGTCGTCGTCGTTTTCTTCACATCACGCCGTCGCCACCGCCGCCGTACGCCGTCATGTTATTAGTCACTCGCGACGACGATACCACCGTCGCGGTCACCGTGGTCATTACCGCAGTGACCGCGCGGCGAACGCCCTTATATTGTTTTCGTTTAGTGCAAAAAAAAAAAAAAAAAGACAAAACAAATAATTAAAACAATTTGAGTCACCGTTCGTGGTTGGTTCGCGACCGCAGCAATATATACTCGACAAAATATTTTTATTGTATGTGATCGCGATGAATCGCTACAAAATCCAAAACCTCGAACACTTTCATATACTTCTCTATAACTATACAGTATAATAATTTGAAATATTTTTGATACTTTACCACGGGTTTAAGGCTATATGACATTATTCGGTGGTATCTATACGTGGGTCTAAGCACCGTTCTTTCTTATAGTGCATAAAAAAATTTAAAAAAAGAGCTAATATATACTGGGATCGGATGTGCCGCTATTGTAAGCGGGAAGTTGGAAAGGTAGGATACATAAAGTTATTGAATTTACATCTGTATGCAACGATTACCCATCGCTACAACAAAAAACAATTCTGAGCGAAATTTGGTTGAACTTTTTTTTTTGAATGCCATTATTTGTATGATTTTCGTCAAAATTTGAACTTAGACGAATATAAAAAAAACTGTACTACATTATACACTCAATTTTTTTTTTCGATAGACGTCATAGTTTTAAAACGAAGTATTTTCTTATGTGATTATGTCAATAATGGATAAGGATAAAATTAAAGATGTACGTCAAACGAGTGTAAATATAGAAGCAGGAGATTATGCGAATAACATTATGCGTGTTAAAATATTATTATTGTCTTTACCACCTACGTATACGATTTATATTACGAATCCGCGTCATCCTCGTCGTAGAAAAGCGCGACGAAATTCTATTTTACGAGACCGCCCTGACGGGTGGCGGCGACTTGGGTTTTATTTGTACCCGATTTCTATTCCACGCGGTGAGACAAACGGCGGTTAACGTTTGAAAATGAACACGGTATTATATTATGTAGGTACAGGTATAATAATTTTGGTATATTCGATGTACCTACGTTATTATTATTATTATAGCGATTTGTGAACGCATATTTCGACAACCTTGACACTGATGGTAACCACGCCGTACCGCGGCCGCAATGGTGTCGCGGCGACTTAAACGCCCGTCCCCCCAAAAAGTAACCGATTCAAATGTGACGTCACATCAAATTAGCCGTGAAATTAGCGGAGAGGTTATACTCACATCGAAAGACCGGTTATATATATATATTATATACGAATATAATATAGGTACAAACGTGCCGTCTATTAGTGTCCGAAAAGCTGTTAAAACCGAATATACACTAAATTTCTCTCTATCTCTCTCTCTTTCTCTCTCTTACACACACTCATACACACATGCACACTATATGGATGCGTTACAGAAGCGTCACAAGCGCTAATCGATTTAAGTGTACCTATAATATTGTGTTGAAATTTTACTTATTACACTATACCAATCCTAAACATTTCTCTCGATTTCGAAACTATATTTATGGTGCACTGCACTGTACTGTGTACATTACGACATCAACGTGTATATAGTAATAATACCGTTGCTTATTACACTTCAATAGTACGTAAGTATCTCAATATTTGATAAAATGAGATTATATTATCGATATTAATAAAAAGAGTGGTTCTGAAAATGTATTGGTCCATAATTGTCCGTGGTTACACTGTAAATCACGAAAATAATAACACCTCATCTATCAAAACCTAGTATCAACATTACGCATCTCAGCCAATAACTCATGACAATATTGCAGATATGTTGAAAATAAGTGTTGTTTTCTTAAAATGTTTTTTTAATCATCCTGTAAAACTACAAAAACTGAAATACTATTGCATTGTTGCAGTATAAGCTATGGTACATCCATATAATTTCGTGCTCTTAACTGCCTATTATAAATAATACTCGAATAAAGATAAGTAATGCCTCAATAAACCTATGAGGGGTTTATTTATTAGTCATTTTTTTAGGAGATGGAGAGCAAAATAACATTTTTTTTTGTTCACAAAATATAAATTCTTTTTAGTGTAGCCAACTATACGTATAACTTTCTTGTTTTTATTTTTTGCCTATCAAGTACAAGTATATATATATTATGCTGATTCGGCTAACTATATATAAAATTAAACAAGTCTACTTGGCCGACTGCAGCATTAAAAAAATATCTGACTTGGGTATGTTTATCAGTTTATAGGACATTATGCCTCTCTAATACCTCCCCCGCCGCCTAAACATAAACGTATATGTTTATTTAGTTGTGCCCAAATATATAAGCTATAAATATCATGCGTTGGGGTTTTCGAGACCTTCTTAAACATTTAAAAAATGCATGTACCTATACAGTATAATACGAGTTGTCCGAATAATGGAATAATGGTGAAATAAGCTGATGACAAATATTATTTTCTGAAGTGTATTTTCGCCGGTGTAAACTCCAGTGTAAATTATAGCGAGGCAAAACCTGAGGAAACTATGATGATAATGATACGTAAATACCTGCTGTTGATGATGCGTATGTAGTTATAGTTCAAGAACTAGCAATTTTCATTTTTTTTTTTTTTATTTTTTTTAAAACAACGTTTACGTCTTATAACGACTAAATAAATATAGAAGCGTAAATTGACCATCAAATACCGCGTTAAACCAGACAACATTACACCATCACGATTGACTGTATGTAATATATAATATTATATATTATTACACTTACATGTATAGTTAGGTACCTGCTTTGTATAGTATGTAAACGGTTATTTCAAAACATTGAACGTGGAAATATATAGTATATAGCTAGGCACAATATTACTATTTAAGTCGTTTACTTTGCAAAATATTATTATAACACACGTTGAAATGTATCGTTTTATACGCGCGTTTTAAAAAATAAACAGTACCGTATATCATTTATGATAATGTTATTTATACTATATTGGTATACTATATATTGTACACCGTCCTTATTTGGTAAACCGATCGTCGATATATATTATTATTATATTTTATTATTCCCACACTCGGGGAATGTAAAATAACTCCCATATAGATGAGGCATAGGTACGCAGTGACTCGGTTTGGCGCAGTATTATTATAAGGACGTTTATAGAACCTCTTTTATTTTCAAATCGCGTACTCTGATAATTACAATATTACAGTAATATGTAGGTACCTACATACCTATACAGCTATACCTTTAGTAAACCTACTTTACTTTGTTTACTAATGTATACGTATTTTTCCAAACGTTTTTTTAGATTCGTCCGTGAATACGAACCCTATGTTCTTTCCCCATAAAAGGGCAGTAGATTTGTGGAAAAGTCTTGTTATTGAAAGACAAATTTAAAATTGTATAAAAAAAAGTTGAAAACCAACTCCGAACCACTTAAAGATCGTGATTAATTAATTAATTTGTATCATTTTAGATTCTGAATGGCACGAGGAATGTATTGGTTTTATAATGATGTTTTTTATTTATTTTTTTTTTAACCTGTGTACTACATTTCTATTGACAGTTTTACTCCGATTTACAATCAAATAGTACTTCTGAAAAGAAATCTGATGACTGAGGTGGTACTTTAAGGAGGTTAATTTTTGATTTCCCCAGAAGTTTTCCCAATACATGGGAAAAACCGGGAGAACGGTGAAATAGGTACAATATTAGACAAATATTATTAAAGAAATTAATGTTTAATGCATATGTAATTATTTTACCATAATATATATTGGTAACAAAGTAATACTATCAACCGAACTCCGCTTAGAATCGTTTTTTCGTTTGCAGTGGTTAATTGTTGCCTAATGTATATATCTACATTAAATTCACGTCTAAAACTCCCAACTTCTCTCCTACAACAGTGGCTGCGTTCGTCCCAATTATTCTAGGACAGCTTTTTTTTTTTTCAAAGAATAACGCATAATAACGGCGGTGACTGCACTATACGCCTAGCCTATCGTCGCTCTATAATAGTCAACCTAGGTATATACCTGGGCAACCCGGGTACCCGATGAAAATGTCGTTTCCGCGCGATCATTCGCGTGACCGGATAAATGACGGCGGAATAAAAACGAGACACAAAGACAAATAAAATTCGAAAGAAAACGATTTCGGTGTATCTTCGCCTATAATATTGTTATTATACCCATATTGTATTTTTGTTTGTCTCTCGGACTGCCGCGGGCGTATATTATATACAACAATATTAAAACTGTATGGTACCGTACAATAATATAATAAATAATAATAATACAATGTGAATAATATACGGTTAACCTGCGCGCGTGTGGCGTATTTATTATATTTACGACGACGACGGCCGCGGCGGCGGTCCGCTTTCTCGGCGAAAAAAAAGAAAGACGCGAACAAAAAAACGACTCGCGCGCGCAATTATTTAACGTAATGGGTACCCTGCAACCTCACCTATAGAGCGTATCAAACGTCCGGTGTTTTATTTTTTTCGTTCATACGTATAAACAATATTATCGGACGGGAAAACGGAAAAGACTACATAAATCTAACGGGTCCTCGCATTCGCGATATTATATTATGTCTACTTACAGAGTGATCGACAATTCAACATAACGTAGCTAAACAATGAGTGGCTTTAAAATAATTACCCGTGTTTTTTTTTTTCATTCTTGCGCCGCCGCGCCGTCACAAAAATCGCGTTCCCCTAATATTCTCCATGTATTATACCCATCATCGCAAAACGACAAACCTAAAAGTGCCGCAATATCTTTCGTCAACAACTCGGAGAAATTCAAAGTTTCGACGCCTAAACGTACTTAAACTGAAACTTCGACTATATTGTATGAAATTGGTTGCAGTGGCGTAACTATAGAACTTCTGATGCCCGTGGCAAAATATTGAATTAAGGTCCTAAAGTCCGGACCGATAAACAAATAAAATAAGGGGGAGAGGTTATTAAAAAAAACCTTCGCCTGTCCAATAATCCCCTATAGTCTAGACCACTAATAGGGCCCTCATCAGTTGTGGGCCCGGGGCGTTTTTCCACCTTGCCCATTCGGTATTTACGCCACTGATAGGTTGTCATTTTAAAATCAAAACGTGGCAGTGGTTTCACCCCCGAACGTAAGGGTGGCGAAAAGTAACAGCAATGCGATGTATTAGAATCGTTCGTTTTTTATTAGCTCTTTTCGAAATAAATTCTGAAAAAGTCGATCCTTTCCGAGATAGTGAGTGTGCTACGTTATTTTGATCAGTAATTACGTATTTATAGGACACATTATTAAGGATTTCGTGCATTTTTAAAATAATTTTAATTGAAAGAATTCAGAATTACAAAACAATTGTTCAGCATTTTTAAATAGGACAGATATCTATGTATTAAGTATATTTGTATTAGGCAATCGAAAAAACAGCTATTTTATATCAAAATATGTTTCATGACCTAACGATACTATATGATTTCACATATTTTGGGGGTTTCGCATTTTTAGGGCATATCTATTTAAATGTTTCTTTAGCATATTATACATATCTACCCTATCGATCACCCTGTATATACGTATTTTTTTTTATTATTTTAATATTATATGTGAGTAGCCAGTAGGTACTGTAGGTACCTACGTCCATCACAACCGGCGGCGGCGGCCGCGCGTTCTCGTCTTACAATAGCTGAATCAAATTAATCATATTAATATCTCCTGTTCTTATATCATTATAATATTATCTACCTTGGCCCTCGGGGAAAGCGCGCGCTCCGATCGATCCACATAATATTATATCCGTTCATATCCTCATCGTATATAATATACAGAGTGGTCCATTTACGTCATAAAACGACGATTTTCTCGGAGGATTTTAAACGAATTGGATTTCTGTTTTTTTTTTTTCAATTACGCATATTATAAATCAAAATACATATAATAAATATTTATAATATAATTTACCTTAATCTTTAATTTAACATACTATTTCTAATTTCACATCTTTACTCCTCACACGTTAAATACTGGTATACACTTTTGATTTTTTAAACAGGAACTTTCCACCTCCCTCCCATTCTACACACGGACAAATAATAATAATTTTAGGTTTAGGGACTTGGAACATTTGCTTGTTTATTTGACTTGACGTTAAATTTAGCAGAATGCTTTCGAAATGTATACGTTTATGTTATGTTGGCCTGATACTTGACTTTAAGACGGAGGAAGGAGCAGGAAATCGACCTCATAAAATATTAACGCCTCCTCATAAGAAACTGAAATGACGACCAATTTATTGTATAGGTATAATTTGTCGTGTATTCGTTACCTCATTTCAGAACCGATCTGATTCAGTACCGCTGCTGTTGTTAGATCTCCGCCGAATTAATAAAATCCATCACAGACGACGAAACGCAAATGTTGCCGCGAGCCATTTTTTCGCACTCATTACAATAATACAAATACCCAATACCTATACTTGCCTTGCTTCGACCGATTATACGCTTTTATGTGTACCGATATTTCGTTTAGACCACTATAAACTTGTAATAGTGTTTGGAATATAATATTCTAATAACACGATGTTGGGCGGGGCCAACCGAAATAAAAATTATTATCAATCAAAATTATTTTATGTTGTGATATTATTTTATTATTATGTACACCGAGAACCGTGCGGATAATGTAATTTATTTAAGATGCGAGCATTATAATATTATATACCTATCATAATAATTATTACCAACGACTTTGTCCATTCGCAGTATGTTTTAATCCTTCGGGAGTGAACACTATAAATTAGGTTATTCAAATTAACATTAATATAGATATAAATTTTAATTATAATATAGGTATGTACCGGTGTACAGAAACGAGTTGTTTTTCGGGAAATCACTTTGGATTTTTTTTTTTTTTTTTCATTTATATACTTGCCGAACTACCGCAATATTAATTATCATAGGTATAGGTGTAGTAGTAGTACTGATTTTATGATAGACAGATAGCCCGTGGCATGGGGGATGTTTGACGAGTAATATAATTGTAGTTTCGCGGGTTTCCTGTGAAACAGCACCATAAATATAGAATACTAGTCATCTTAAGATAGCTAACTGACGTTTTCATTTGACGCCAATCGCTATAATATGCGCGGTGGTCCGTGTTGACATCATTTTCTTATCAATACAGCTTGATAACATTATGAAGTTATTCTTTTATGCTGTGCTGAATGTTTATCTTTTCCTCACTTATTAACGAATTAGTACTGTTAAGTACTATTCATATATAGTTTCCTGAGCGATTTCATTATCATATTAATTCATTAGTACCACGGACTTGCACTACAGTCCGTAGAGGTAAATGAAACGAAAACAACATGTAAGATAATTGAAACATACTACAACACTATCTTGGGACATAAAAAATAAATAGAAGAACAAAACTAAGTAGAAAACGCGTACGGTGAAATGTTAACGAATGATAATAATCACGATTGAAAAATGTAAATATTTCCATCTTCACCGAGCATATCGCAGAATGACGTTAACTTTCAGTACTACCTCGGTACTAGTTAGCTATCTTGTATTCTAGTATCTATAGATAGCATAGAAATATTCAACAAATTAGTTTTTCTTCAAATTGTATGGGACGCACGTGTATCATTTCACATGGTACACTGAACAGCCGCTATCTATGTGAACTGTTGTCTTAGACATAATATTGACTATATAAATCACGAAAAAACAAATTTTCATTTTCCGGCACTAATAAAGCGTCTAACACATTCTCTCTTCAGTTATTTACCATGTAGACGACTGTGAAAATAAACGGTACCTGGCTATACGACGACGCGGTGGCCTATCATTTCAATGTTAGATCCAACGAATCTGTACGATAATATTATAACTAGGGTTGGAATTTCGATTCCGTTTACGTCGTTTCAAATTCGTTTCATATACATTTGAATGAAAATATTAAAATTGTATTTTTCATTTAATATTAACTTTTGATTTTGAAGTCATCATTTTCTTCGTTTTTTTTTTTTTTTTTTTTCAAAGCATTTAGGAGTTTTGGATTTTTTAGATTAAGAATTTAAATTTGAAATTCTATTTTATTTTTTAAATCGTATTTTATTATATTCGAATATCATTTCTACCAAAATTATTATTAAAAACGCGCAAAAAAAAAAAAAAAAAAATGTATAGCATTATTTTTATTTTTAAGGACATTATTTAGGGTTTTAAATGGCATTACGTTCCCAGCCCCACATTGACTGCGACGTGTAATATGATGAGTTAAAAAAAAAAAAAAAATCAAATTTACCCGAAATGTTCGTTACAACACATTACAATCGCCGCCGGCCCGGCGGAAAATAATCGCCCTGTATACGCGCTGTTGTTGCTGTGCACATAAACAATAATTCTACCGAAAGTTCATCGTTCTCATCCGAGGCGGCGGCGGTGGCGGCGGCGATCGGGCGTATTTCACATTATATTATCCTATCGACAACACGCTTTTTCGGATCGAACAGCGGCAGCAGCTGCCACCGCGGTATGCGCGTCCGGTATAGGTAAAAAATAATAATATTATAATAAAGTGACTGCGCGAGTAGTTCTATAAACGAAAATATTCAAATATTCCACGTGCACCCATCAATTATACCTATTATATTGTATAATATTACATTTTAGGTGTATACAGTCGCAGCGCTGCCCGGTCCCCCCCCTCCCACCCATCAAATTCTCCGCCGCCGATGGTACACGGCGGCGGGTCGTATAATGTTTATAATGTAAATACCGTCGGCCCCGTGTCCTATATTATCATTCCGGCGGTGCAACAACAATAATATTATCATAACGTTAATAACGCGTATTATAATATATATTAGGCTCCTTCGATTTAATATTATCAGCTATGTTGCAGGCGTCGTCGGCGGGGGAAAAAAACACCCGCGAGCAGACAGCCGAGCTATAGTCGGATTTCCCCCCCCCCCCCGTCACGACTGTTCGCCGCTGTACAATATATTTCATTTTATTTTTTAAATTTGTATTTATGTGTACATACGATTTGTAATCGCCACAACTTTAGACACCGCGTACGCCCCCTCCGACCCCTGCCAATCTATTAGGGTAAAAAGAAGTACGTGCCCCCGAACAAAAGTCTCATCGAATCGGGTAAAGTATTGTATTATAGTTCTCGAGATTTTTCCTGACACACGGACGGTCAACAATGCGTTATTTACGTATGCCAATTTTTACCTCGTTACTTATTTTGATATTATGTAAGTATATCTATATAGGGGTGTTTAAAACACCGGTATTTCCTGGAAAATGTAAAATACGAACATAAGGTTGAATGTTGAACCCTCCCCCCTCATTCCTCTAAAAGGCACGTCCTAGATACTTACACAGTGTATGCACCAAAATTTGATCCGACCGGCTTCATTTTGTTGGGGGAGTCTGCAGTGGTGTACAAAGAAACGCCCTCCTCTCACAACATTATGGCGAAATTCATATTGAAGAACTCGTAATTTCCGGGTTTGAGCTCATCCGGTCTAAAGGGAGCCGCTAGGAGTGCACAAAAATAGCGGAGGAAAATACTGAACAGTAGATTGCAATAGCTGCTTTATTTTCGAGGAAAATTCTACTAAAATAAAAAAATACGCTTTTATTTTTAAATATATAATAATATAATATAGTATAGTATGTGTTTTACGCGTGACTTAATACATTTTGTTCAAATCGATGGACGGCTCGAGTTTATTTTATTTGTTTTTAATATATATCTTTTTCTCCATGACATTCCAGAATTGCTCGCCGGTTATGAGGAATGAACATGGATAGCGGCAACGAGACCCTTTTCTCGGAGGACTCATCGCCCGACTCGGCACCACCCCCGTCGCCAAGCAGCGGCCGAGGGAGCCAACAGCCCACGCCGGCGCCCACCCCGCCGCACATCACTTCGTCCTTGTCAAAGGTAAACAATATGTTATTTATTATTATATACTATCAGTTTTCTAACATCTCGTTGTATTGTAATAATAATACGCTAGACGGCGTCTTTAAGGATAATATAATCCTGTATAACATGCGTATACCTTCCCCCCCCCCCGGTTTAGTCGAAACCCTTTTGAACCCTGCGTATAAATTATCGTGCGTCGGGTTAAAATGACGACGACGGCAATAATCGCCGTATCGCATAATCGCTGTTGTTAAAAATACAAAATGAAAAAAAATAAATGAAAAACATTATCCCCCATAGAGAGTGGGTTTAACATCGTAATTTATATTTGTTTATTTTATATCGTATTGGAAATTCAATGTAAATAAAAAAATATATATATATTTCACGATCGATTTTCTCGTAGACTAAACAGTTTACATACCCGATAAATAAAACGAAAACTACACTAAAAAAATAATAAAAACACGGATGAATGATACGAACGATTTGCTACTCGAATTTCAAATCAATTATAAAGTACACGAATAACATTATTATATGAAATAAGTTTTGATATTTTATTAAATATTATTAAATACAATTTCGATAAGATGTTAATGCATTATTATTTATTTATATTTAAGATTCTGGGTAAAACAAGGAATGTATTGGTTTTATTATGACGTGTTTTTTTTTTTTCCGAAAACAGTTTTTTTACCAACAATTTTGTTCCGATCAAAAACTTTATAGGAACTTCCTTGCAGAATTTTTTATCTAGTTAGTGTATTGAAAAGGTTATTTTTCTATTTTCCTTGTAGCTTTCGTAATAAATGGGAAAAATTGACAACTTTCTGTATAATTCTTGTTTATTTCTGGGTTACCTTGGCAACAAAGGAAAAAAGAATTTAATATTGCTAATGGATAAGTGGCATATTTGTAAGTCGGAAATTAAGAAAGTAAGTTACATAAAGCTATAAAATTAATATCTAACGAAATACAATGTTGAGCGAAATTTGGTTATACATGTTTTAAATTGTAATTTTTACGATTTTCGTCAAAATTTGAGCTTGAAAACCTTATAAAAAACTACTACATTCAGCTCAACTTGTTTATCATTAATACAACTTAAAATTAATCTCATGTTAAATTTTCAAATATTTTTCTGTTTGGTCAAAAAATTGTAACCACATAAAAAACCAAATAGAAATGTAAAAACTAGAAAATGTCAAATACCTATTAAATAGTAAATAGTTCAATCAGAAAATAATTAAACAGTTAATGCTCAAGTGTATGTTTCATATTGTGAAATTTAAAAATATATGTATAGACTTTAGTGATTTTAAAAAATTGTACAAAATTTTCGTCCGTCACGTAGTTCTGACATTAATTTCTTTAACTTTCCCCTCGATATTGATCAAATGTGATATAATAAATGCAATTCGTATTTATTTATTTTAATTACAAACCGGCATTGGCCCAATTGAACATGGTAACATTAATAGTGACAATATAATAAAATATACATAGGAATAGCAATCTAACACAACAATAATTATACATACATAAATGAAGAGTTTAAAGTTCCATACACCAGTATGGTGCCTCGTACATGTAATATTTTTGTATGTCGCATGCGTATGCAGCGATAAAAAGGCTCATTTTGACCATAATTTGTCAAATTTTTTGAAAGTTTATGAACGATTACGAAATGGAGCAGCAGAACTACGTGACGGACGAAAATTGTGTACAGTTTTTTAAAATCACTAAAGTCTATACATATTTTTTTAAATTTCACAATATGAAACATGCACTTGAGCTTCCATTCAAAATTGTATCTCTGAAAAATCATTTAAAATAGTTGCGTAAAATGTTTTGAATAAATATATGTTTTTACCGCTGAAAATCATTAGTGAGACGTGGTACTCGTAATGGTTATGTAGTATTATTATATTGATATTTTCCATTTAAAAACACTTCACTGCGCATATTTCAACTCAAGAGTGTCCAAGTTCGATGTACTCTAACGGCATCGAAACGATAACGATAAAAATTGCCAAAAGTGATGTGTCTACATGACGGTCGTATTTCATTTAATATTGGATTGTTTTTATCTTTTAGAGTCGTATAGGATGCGTGCAAATTAGTTAGGCAACATAAAATTGCATTATCAAATCAACTATAAAAAATAACGTTACTCCGAACATAAACTATTGCGTTTAAATTGAAATATTAAAATTTGTCACAAATAATAAAATTAAAAAGACAGGTAATTTTTAAGGAAATAATTTGTGTTCATGTGAAAACACAATAATGTCCATTGGATATCCTGTATAGAGTAAGATTTTGTTTAATGTGTACACACTAGAAATTAAATGGTAAATTATTGAATTAGTAGCTATTGTAACAAAATATTCTATTTTATATAGAAAATACTCTTACTGGTGGGGAAGGAGTACCTAGGGGAAGATTTGGTACATCTGCTGGGAGAGTTATTTTTAAGAGAGAGACAGTGAACACGCAGTGGATATGTACTTCAAAATGCTTTGTAAAAAGGAGAATATTTTCGAGCACTATGCGCAAATTTTTTTTTAAAGCATCGTTGTAACCATGTTAGTTTGTTTTCTTTAAATAGCCCTGTAACTTTTTGATACGGCGTTTATTTTTTCAGAATAAAATTATCTATGCGCTATCTATAGCAGGAATATTCTCCCTTTCTTTTTGAATTTCGCTATTTGCGCTTAAACACTAATTTCAACTGAAACGCCACAATTTGTGCGTTTTACGTAACGTAATTTCGCTATTATATGTTCTCCTTTAATCAGACAGGGGTCTGAGACAGTAATGCGTGTGTGGCGACCTCTTAAATATAGGCATTCATTTATCGGTCGCGAACGATATTTTAAAACGTTAACTGCCGTTGTTTTATATATAGACGAAAATACCGTTTTGAAATCTTTTACGTCCCCGCGAATCCACACAAAGATTTGTATGGTTTTTTTTTTGTACGCATTGTGCAGAAAGACGCGTGTGTGTGTTTATATTTTATTTTTTTTTTTATTTTTTTTGTAATGACTTCACTTTCTAATGCTTTTGTGATTTGAATACACGCGTTCAAAGAAAATGTTTATACGCACCTATTATATAGCACCGTATAGCGGGTATATTATATAAACTGAAAACGCATAAACCATATACGGACGAAAGCGTTTATAATATATTTGTCCGTTTTCATCCGCTAAGACAATAATATACTGAATCGTAACGGCGTGTGTGTCTGTAAATACTCGTATTATAGAAATACAATTACGATCTATTAAATAAACGTTATTCAGTATAACAATGTATACTTTTTATTGGATAAAATAGCTGACATACGACCCGGTATTTCCCGGGCCCAATCCTTTCAATAACGGAAATCCATAAACCGATAAAAACCGAAATGGCGAAATGGCGCTAGCACCGTGGTTGAACTGAAAATGCGAACCTAATTCAGAACTCAACTAATCGTTTAGTGAATAAACCGCATTTCGAAATTCGCAGCCGTGTGACAGGATAGAACGCTGACAAACTGACAGGCAGACACATAGACAAATTCACAAAGTATAACTTAAACGTGACTCCCCAGTCCACCCTTATTCCTATTCACAGTTAATCGTCGTTATCGATAAACATTTTTGACAGAGACAACCAAATTAAATAATAATTTAACAGCTATTTTTATCAATGTTGTTAAAAAAAAATATTAAATTTTCGTTTCAAGCATACCAAAAACCATGTGTTGACCACCCTCGAGGGGTTAAATTTTGAGATAAAATGTATGCAGAGATCTTCCTCATGTTTTTTATGTCAAGTGCACAGAGTTTGATCACGATCGGAATAAAACTATAGTTTTGTACACAGGGTGATTTTTAGATTCCGAGCGTATTTTATCATGAACCAGTAATTTTCTCGAATGATTTTAAGTGAATTTGATTTCTGTTTTTATCATTATGGAATCGGTTAATCTATATTTTAAAACCATTTTTAATTTTTTTTTCATGTCATTCAAATGAAAAAAAAAATTGTTCATCTCATTTACTTATTGTGTTCAATTTAACAAGTATAGATTGTAATCAATAGAACAAAAAAAGTTAACCCATACTCTATATACTTACCTTTAATAAGTACATATATACCTATATACCTTTATACTTTTGTTTTTCAAATAGGAATTTTTCTTTTTGAATATAGATTTGAATAGAGAATATTTTTAGTGTTGAGTGGTGATAAAAAATAAAAAATTGTTTTAAAATAAAGCGCAACTGATTCCATAATGATTAAAAAAAAAAAATCATATTCACTTAAAATCCTTCAAGAAAAATGCCTGTTCATGATAAAAAAAAAAAATCGTCCTATATATGGAAGTAGACGCCGGACACACAGACAGAATTTCAATTTTGTATAATATATAAAGTTGGTGAGTTGGATGAGCAGTATATAAAAATGTTGGCTCCCTTCAGGTAAAAAGTTCAACGTGCCACTGATGTTTTGAAGCGGTGAAATGAATTCGATCATTGAGCGGTCACTTCACGATTTTTTTTTTTTTTTGAGAATATTAGAGGTGCTCAATATAAAAATAACTAAATATTGGTACTCGTTACTACTAATTTAATAAAAATAGCTGATAATATTCTAATATGTATATTGGAAAAAAAAAAGACATCCTAGGATAATGAGGACGGGTGCAGCCACCGTTCTAGGTAATTTAATGTATACCTGTAAACGACATAAACCATTGCTTACGAAAAAATGATTTTTACTATTCAGCTACTATTTGACTTTTATTTAGAGTTGATTTTTATAACAGTTCTAAATAAATTGTACCCGCATGATAAGATAATAAAATACATTGTAATAAATGGTAATTTTTTGCTCCGTGGTTGTGTTACATAGATACCGTGTCCAAATGTGGCTAAACAATAATATTGTTATTGTATTATTTTCATCCGAGGACAAACGCGCGTCAAAACAAATTTACTGCTGTATAAGTACAATTCAGTACGCCAATAAAACGTATTGTGCAGCCGCTGTTGTTTATAATGTTTTTTCGCCAATAAAAATCGATTCGGAGTTTCATTGAAGAAACACGCGCGTTTGCACACGCGTGACGCCGGCCACGCAGTTTCAAATCCGTTTGCGAAGTGTGTACGATATCGTATTATACCCGTGCTTAATAATAATTGTATACGCACGTGTATATATATATATATATATTATTATTATTATTATTATTATTATTATTATTAGGCACATTTTAAGCGTGCGGCGTGTCCATTGACCATTGTTGTCCGGCGCATTGAAAAGTACGCAGCATACGCTCGAATCGTCTCTATTATACATGTTTAATTTATTGCAAAACATCGTAGATAAATACCTGTATAAAGCGCGTGGCTGTGTCGTAGATAAAGTTACGAAGGGTAATGCGGCGCCCACGCGGTATAACACATTTTCTGCAGTCCGGGTCCTTCGGTTTTCGACTTTTTTTTTTTTTTTTTTTTTTCTTCTTCTCCCGCTACACCCGTTCAAAACGAATAATCTTTACTATCGGCCAATTCTAAATATGATTCGTGTACCGTATTTCGAGCCAAATAACGATATTATACGTACATCATCATTTTATTTGTCGCGCTAATTTTGGATTGTACACTTTTCTTTTAAAGTATTAATCAATTTCGGTGTAGATACTTGTACTGATTTTCTAGAGGATTTTTTTCAAAGATCGCAAAACAATTGTTGTATTTCCTATAGACTCTCGTTTTGTTTAGTGTTTCGAAATCCGTACCCCACGTATTATTAAAGGTATAGTTATTAAGTAATACAAGTCAAAGTATATACGAGTATCGTGTACGTTCTTTATTGTCGAACAATAAAAATAAATTATAGTATAATACGGAAAACGTGAAATACATAATATTATTACCATCATAATATAGGTGGCCATAGTCATAATATCTGACAATATTACCATCGATAATTATAATATAACAACCGGCTCCGTTCACTACGGTAATAATTATGTGACCTTACTAAGAAAAATGAAAAACCGATAGAAAGTCCGTGGATAATATCGACTGTCCAATTTAAGGCTACGACAACTCAAAAGAGGAGTTTGTTTCGGGGGAGTGATTTAAAAACTCAACGAATATATTTTAGTCAACTATAAAACAAATAAATTAGGTATTCATACAAGTTTTGGTGCACACGTATTATGTCATTACATTATGTTTTTCTTGTTATTAATATTGTACAAATACACGAGTTCAATTCAATAGGTATATAGGTACTCGATTCACTTTAGAACTGGATATGTTAAACCAAAATATGTCATTTTAAAATAAATCAAGAGCTCTTTAGTGCGTAATAATTAACTAATTTGTATTGTGGTTTTGAAAACGAAAATAAAATGGTGTAGTTAACTCATTTTTTTTTTTCTAGTCGTTGCAGTTTTAAACTGGATAGTAGATATAATATTATTATTTGATTTCCACGTTCTTTTTTCATCGTACCATATCGACAAATAATATTAGTATACTAACAGACGCGCTATTCCAGACGAATATTTCCGTGACGTCGTGTGTCGTGTCGCGTCCGCAAATATAATATATTATGCTGATAACACCGAAAAATCAACTGACCATAATAAAAAAAAAAAAAAAAAAATCATGAATTTAGCCCAACTCTGGAAATTTCCTGGTAGGTTGGTTACTTAAATGGTACCAAGATTATAAAACAGCGGCCAATGCGATTACCGCAACACACCGCAAGGTACACGACACGACACACGCCTTTAGTCGCCTTTAATCGCCTATATATAATATATACATATAGGTACTTCGACGCAAGCCCGAATTGAGTTTGGGAGAAGTAGAGGTACCGGGTCACCGGGCTCACGGATATAAAGTGCCCATTGTGTCATCATATACGTTTACAAATTATTAGTAGTGTACAAAAATGTTCATAAAGAGGGTATATTTTCGAATTCTGCACGGGGCCCACTACTAGACCCATAAACCCATAATCCGGCCTTGACTCAACGCGTTTACCACGCCTAGAGGATATTTATTTTTATTTTTTACATGTTTTTTTTTTTTACTTTTTTTACGCGGCAACGGTCCGTGTGCGTGTCCTTCTCCGCGTATTTATACTTTATAATATTGTCCCGATATTATAGAGAGGGAAACGAGACTGGTTTAGCACGTGTATTTAATACACCGGTATTGTTTGGTTATGGTTACCTATAGTGTATTTATTTTTTTTAGTCGTCGTTTAATACATATATATTATACGGGGTGGCCACTTTTATCGCGAAGTGGCTATTATTATCAGCGCTACATTTTGAGTAAAATATCTGGTTTTAATTTTTCTATTCAATGAAATATTAATATAAATTATTATTTACAAAAAATTCCCCTTATTCCAGTATTTACAGCGTAGTATCAACCTAAAATTATCGATAATAATATACCTAACGAGCTGTTTCCTAAAAGTATTCGTAGAAACTTGAAATTTTGACAAAAAACTTATATTTGCTTTTTCTAAAAGTGGTAAAATTTTCAAAACACTTGGTGTATTTTTAAGCTATTTATAGACATTTTAATTTTTCGAAATTTGTACTTAATTATATTACTCGGTAAGTACTCCGTGGATAAAATTGCTAGACCAAACAGTTTGAAAATTTAATAGAAAGTCCATTGTACTTTGTGGTCGTCGAAAAAAATATCAAAATGAATAAAAAAATGTTGACGAAAATCGTAAATATTATGGTTATTCAAAATATTTATAACAGAACTCAGCTCAGAATCGTTTTTCGGTAACAATGATTAATCGCTGCGCACAGATATACATTAGAGTCTCCTCTATATCCTACCTCCCTAACTTTTCACTTACAACAATGACCCACCCACCCGTGCGAAGTATGTCCGTCTTTTTTTTTTTTTATGTCTGATATTGTAATCTGTTTCCCTTATTTTGTGGTCTAAATATTGATCTGTATGACGTATTTGAATACTGAAAATTAAAAAATCTTTAGTCACTAATTCACTATGATGTACCTACATTTTGTTTAGCAAAGCTATATAAATGTATAACTTATAATTTAAGTCATTTAGAACGCCTGTATTTAGATTTAGTCATTTAGTAGTTTACAGAATTTAATTCGCTCGTATTGAAAACTATACAAAATTGACTAAAGCACTTATTTCTTGGGACCAAATAGATAAACGTTAATTCTTGATCATAGAAACACCCTGTATATACGTCTATTACAAGTCACGTGTGTGTACAATGTACCTACATAATATATAGCATTAAAAAATGTAGGTTACGCGGGTGGCGTTCATAACATTAAAGATAATAACGATATAATATAATATACCTTACAGTGTGGAACTGGTGGTTAATTATATCTAGTCGGCCGATAGATTTATTATTATTGTTTTTTTTTCCCCGTTTTCCTTTTTAATCGATTTTTTTCCACTTTGGAACAGATTAAGGTAACAACAAAGACTGCATGGTGAACGTATACCTATAAAATATATACAGAACAAAAAAATATGACAAACTAGTCTCGATAGAATGATGATTAAGCAAATTCGCGACGTCGGCTCCGTGCGTCGGTGAACACATATATCATACGTAATAATAATGTGTGAGTAGTTATACGAATCCGTTCAGGACCAGCGGTAACCGTTAACAATATAAAATGACTCCGATAGCGCGACTATATCAATAGGTAAATGTAACACGCGACGGGTGGGTAGGCTTCATTTCTACTTTTATTATCGTCGTCGAATATTTCACTATCCTTTGTGGAAAAATAGAAAAAATAAATGGGAAAAAAAGAAATCGATATACTCGTACATTATTGTGTACAGAAGCCGCGAGTCAACGTAAACTGTAAAATTTAAAAATAATATTTCTCGAGAAAATTACGTGTGTAAAATACACATTCATCACATCAAACTTTTTGTTTATTCGAAAACAATAAGTTTAACGACCTCTGGGAGGAGGGGAGATGATAAAGAAGGTGTCGCGAAAGAGGCATTCAGAGATCCGTTTTAGCGCCAAGTCGATTTTGGTAAGTCAATTCAAATTTACCGCACTTGTGCTTTATTGTGCGGATGTAAAAGTGTTGTATCGTGTTGATAAAATTAATTTTACAAATGTGAAAAATTGATTCGTTTTAAAGCCACCTCCATTCGATCACTTCGCAAGCTCGTGTCAAAACTTAACTTAACCATCAGTTTTTTTTTTTTTTATGCAAAACCACGTCATGTAGGTCACAATAATCACAAGAACAACAAAATATGACAATTTGGCACGCGCACAATTGGAATGGACCAATCACAAACGGGAAATGCTTATTAGGTGCTGAATCAAATACCAGAGTAACGCCCGGTACATATGTAAGGGGTCGTGTATAGGCAATTTTAAAGTCATTTTTAAAGAAGAAAATGTTCAAATCTTCGCAATCGTGCAAAACAGAAAACAGTTTACATACGCTTTTCAAAGTGATTATTTAGAAATCAAACATATATACGAGTACCGACATGAAATTTATATAAATTTATATATTATGTAGATATTTGAATACACTTCGGATGAGAAACACGTTGTCACCGTTCTCTAAATATTAAAAATTAAAAAACACAACTCTTTACTCTTTACATTTATTAACAACTAAAGTATCATAATATATTATAATTATAAAAAAACGTCGATGAGGTTGTCTCATATTGCGAGATTCACGACGTTAAAACAGGCGATATTTGCCAAAAGTTTAACTTTTCACATACTAAACCCGATCAAAGAGGAGGGGGTAGGTCAATCGACGAAAAAAAAAATACTACTTTTTTCCCTTACATTCTCAAATGCACCACTACAGGTAGGTATATACAGTTATAACAACATGCAAATGAGATAGTGTATATTTTAAAATTGTTTTTTTTTCCTCGTGTAATAAATTTCACGAAAATTACAAATTACATATTATTATATATATACGTACTTATTTATATCTGAAGTGTAGCTCTATTAAAATAATTGTTCGTCTGCGTATACATTTATTATTGTTATTTTGGCAGTCAGTCCTCCTGTCCGATTGTAGGCGTGTGTTATACATTATCGACTACCTACACGGATCATATTGTATGTAATATCATTTTTCGTGTATACGGATAATAATAATATAAACGAATTCGGATTTGAAACGAATTTCGTCAGAATAAAAAAAAAAAACAACAACGTTTACTGCTTGCGGTAACGAATTATTCCGAGAGTTTATTGTGTTGCGTTTGATACATGATAAATCGATTTTCGAATATTTTTTTTCCTAATGTATGTTACCGTACATTATACAATATTTTACCATTGTTTATAAATACTGCCAGTATTTATAATCAACGATATTATATTAAGAGCTGGCGTTACAGCGTTTTGCCCACTTAGGTGAACTTGGCCCTTCCAAAGCCATCTCAAAACCCACCTATAGAGTATTTGAATAATAATTTTGTCTTTAATATTAGGTCTAAAACTCATTCGGCCCAAACCCTACGTATTTTCAGACTCTACACGTATGAAATAACGACCCTAAGTTTAACATTATAATAACTAGAGCTCGGGACTTATTGCACATAAAATTAACAAAAAAGCCTTGAAAAAACAAATGGTAAAAGGGTTTAAGTGTTTTTTGTCTAACGACTCTAAATTATTAAATATCATTTTCTAACACGACACAAATTATTTTTTTTAAATAAAATTGTACGTATTTAAAAAAAGTAACTTTGGGTCAACTTTAGTTTTGTAGTTTTAGAAAATTGTATAAGTTAAGTTAAAGCCGTTAGAGGGGAAATATTTAAACCATTCTGCCATTTTCGATTTTTAACATTTTTTTCAGAGCTTTTTTAACGTTTATAAGTGGTTTTTTGTGGATTTTAAGTTCAATTAGTTCCGAGCCCTAATAATAACTAATAACAATACTATAATCTGCAGATATGGTCGAGTCTAAAAAGGTTTTGTAAATAGCGAACGATGTTTATCGCGACTGTGACATGAATATTATGCGTATGGGCGGTATATCACAATCCATTATACCAGCCTAAAAATGTAAAATTGTGTATAGTTTGCAACACACGAGCGTGATTTCCTCGCTCGAACGCGAAGACGACGGTTTTTTTTGCTTTCGCCGTTTAATTTACGTTGTCTTCGTCGTCGTCGTTTGAGGGTCTGAGAATTACGAAACAATCTAGCAGTGATATGGACATTTATATCATGGTACGAGTTCAAATATGAATATTAAAAATACTTTTTTTTGCTCATTTTGATTTTTTTTTAATAATTTTTGCTCGTTTCTTTCTATTTGAAAAAATAATTTTGAAGTTCTTATTTTATTACTTAAAGACTTGTTAAACTTTTCGTGGGCTAATGACGGTTTTTAAGCACGTTTCTGTTGATTTAAATTTTTAAGTGCTATAAGTCCCGAACCCTGATAATAATATTATGATTTTCCAAGTCCGATTTCAATTTATTTTACTTGATTACAGATTTGTATCGATGTTTAAAAAAAGAAAAATGTGAGTATCTTCAATATTTTCTCAATCGAGTAAATATTATAATATTAACTGCCTACCTATTGTTGTAGTTATTTGTTTTGGTTTTAACTCTCAAGTAGTGCGTATAAATTATCGCGCGCGTGCTGTTCTATAGTATAGTTAATATGCACGTCATGTATACAGAGTGATTATTTTATCATGAACCAGCGATCGTCTGCGAAGATTTCGAGTAAATTTGAATTTTGATGATTTTTCAGTCAGTATCGAATCGTCTTACAATATTAAACTAATCGACTTTTGATTTTCAAAAGAAAACCAAAAATTAAATTAAATTATGATTTATAATTATAATTTTAACAGGTAATAACATCTGTAATAATATGTTAATACGCACAACTCAACTTCGTATGTAACCGAATGTATCGCGTTTATGAGTTACAACAGTTTAAAGTTTAAAAGACCGGGAGCGAAAATCAATATTTGATTTGAACAATTTTAGATAACCTTTGTTTCTCACTTCTCCAAACCTAAATTGTATCGTTTAAATTACTCATTCTCCTTTCGATTGTGAGCTTAAAAACTCGGCTTGCTAATTGAAAATCAAAACAAATCAGTAAGCGTTTACAATGTCAATAGTACTGAAGTAGATCCCTAGATCCTTTGCTAAGGAGAGGGGGGGGGAGGAATACTAAAATATGCACAAATATTTCTTAAACACATTTTATAAAATGCAAAAAAATTTTTTTGACAATTGTTTTTTAGTAATTTTAAATTAGTAGGTAAATTACGAATATGAATAATTAATTAATTAGTCGATAAAATAAACTTGAACAAAGACTACGATTGAATGTAACTACTATATGTATATTCGAAATTATCACATGGACAACTGCCTCTATGGGAATATCCCGGGTGCATCCCGTTTTCATTTTTTATCTTTTACATAAACCGTAACCTAGTACCGAAGTATAGTGTCGTAATTTTAAAAATGTTCAAAAAAAAAATTTAAAAATTATAATGTTCACATGTATAAAAAATTTGGAATACTTTAAAGAATATATTTTGTATTCTGTATCTATTTTATAACACTCAACCAACCATAACGGGGATATAATCACTAACAGATAATAACCGAATATTTTTGGGCTGAAGTCAGTTCACTATTGGTAACACTAAATTGACCGGGACGCACACGAGTGATGTACCTTATTCCGGACGCACTCGCGGAACATACGAAAAGGGTGTCATTTCGGAACGCACTCGGGTAACCGCGGCCCTCGTTTGCCGTCACGCCCGCTGAGGACGTGCCTGCAGCGCGGAATAATGTGGCAAAAGAAATTTTCGAAAGAAAACGATATTATGTAAACACGATATTCTGTATGACGTCGTGGAAAATAAATCGAAATCGAAATTTACTAAAAATATTTCGTATACTATATGAGTGTAAGTACATAAATATAGATAATCGCCGGTTCGTGATAAAAGAATCGCCGCTTAATGTTGTGTATAATACCCATATTATAATATCGAGTATGTATTATAATAATATTATTGTACACACAACGAGATCCCGGGAGAGGAGACGGAAAAAAAAAAAAAAATTATTTACAATCGCGGCGCGGCGGCGGTATTATCTCTCCTCTTCTGAGACGGACCGTGGGAATGCGTTAACCGAACGCCCACAGTCGTACTCTCGCGGCACAGGTATACCGCCGACACCGACTGGTTTCCCCGCCCCCTCTCCTCCATTCGTTCGCTTTATTTTACGCGTAATATTGGTCTCCCCGGTCGAGACCGCTGCTGTGATCCCGACGGATTTTGTCGTTATCACACGTTTTTTATTCCGTTTTTTCTGTTCGGTACGAGCATACTTTTACACCATTATTACATACCTATATAAGCGTGATTTATAATAATCAGACGTCCGAAAAATCCGACTTTCGGTCGGTGTCCGCGAGGGAAAAAAACTACCGCGAACTACGGGGGGGAAAAAAAAAAAAAATCTCCTTAACATTTTCATAGTATTGTATTCGTTTTGGACAAACGATAAGTACTGCACTATAACTGCAATCGAAATCAAATATTGTTAAATATAACGAAACTATGATAATAATATGTTTTTTACTGTACTGTACTGATCCGCGTCTATTTTTTTCGGGTGTCGTTGTTTTCCACCGAAATGAACCGTTTTCTTTTACGCCAAATTATTTATTATACAGTAGTATCAATCGTGAGCATAGGAACGGGTGACCAATATAACTAACGTGTATAATATAATATAACGGGTATTACGAGTTATATATTGTAAGATACAAGTTTAATTATTTTGGTGTTACCAAAAATAATAGTATAATATAGTATATTATTGTGACATGCCTGTAGATTAGAACACAACGTACACGTTTTTGTCACTCACGCGCTATTTAATTTAAAAAAAAAAAACTAGTTTCTTTTATCTAGTAACTCAAGATCAACCGAGATAAGTCAATAGCTATCGATCAAACGTACCTACGTAATAATATTTCGCAATATTATTCCGTTTTATCTGATACTAATATCAACTTATTCAGTGGTTGTTTTATTTGTATTGTTCGCCCTATCTTACACCCGATGCTATATTGCATGTACATTGTGGCGCGAGTCAGCAAATCAACTGCCCACCAGCTTGTCTGCCGACGTACGAAAAATGCTTTAAATTTAGCATAGTTCATATTTACACATTTTAAACATTGTATAATATGCAATAAATAATTTGATAGAAACGTGCGTTGGTGAAAAAGGGATAAGTTCATTTCGGTGGGAACTGGTCCCGTCCATTTTTTTTAAGATATTTGTCAAATATATAAAATATGGTAAAATGATAAAGGATATCTACTGTGATCCTTATTTTATTTTTGAGCGTCACGTGCAGTTTTGACGACAAATCGTTAAGGAATTATTGGTTATTCATAAAAAGACGTAAATTAACAAAACAAAAAAAAAAACAAAATGGTTTGCTTTTTTTTGTTATAATGATTCATGAAGTATCTATATTATAATAGAAACACTGTACGTGATAGTTTTCTTGACGTTTTACACACAGGCAGTCCAAGCTCGCACTCGCACAGACCCCGCGCTTTTAGAAGCCCCTTCTAGTCATGGTCATAACCAGATAGTAATTTTCGCATGATTATTAAGAAAAATACCAATTAAAGTCAATGAACTTAATTTTAGAATTGCATTGTAAAGGTTTACCTACGCTTGTTATTCGAATGTGAAAAACCAAAAATAAAAGCTTATTGAGGCCCGGCAAAAATGACTGCACGTGAGGGTCTCGATACTTCCCAAGCCGGTCCTGTCTACAGTCTACACATATCATATGATACGTAACAAAACTACAATTAAAATATAATATAAATCATGTATATATTATTAGGTAAATTAGGTAAACAAAAGTAGGTAAACAGAGAACGTCATACCTGAATCTACTGGTCTCCGTATTATACAAACGCACAGAGTAGCAAATTTGCGTTCAGCCGGACAAATTTCATTAGACACATTTTGTGCCGTTATATTTGTAATATTAACCGTTTCACTCCCGCTGTCCTTGTACATGGACACATAATTCTAAACGCTGTAAATGATTAAACGAGAATATATTAGTATCACTTGTTACTCTATTATGATATAATTTAACAAAAAAAATTAAATTCTGGGAGCGAATTGACATACTGACATATAATACTATGCTATCCGGATTTAAAGGCTAGGGTACTATAGGTATATAGTAGTACCTTTATTATGCATTTTGATTCGAAAATAAATCATACTACGATAAATCAGACAAATATATATGTATATAAGACATTATAGCGGTGTACCGCAAATATTTCGTGTTCGTTTTTCAACACGGAGAAAAAAAACTAGCAGGTCACTTTACAATATTAATAGACTCTCTTGTGTATAATACCCGTATACGAGGGAATTCAATTATTATATTTATTATGCGGCTGTTGCTTGCGCAGATTTTTTCGTAATTTATTATATACTATCAAATAATAATAATAATAATAATAATAATCTACACTTCTATACAAGACCAAACCGAATTATTACAGTCTATAATGTTGTTATTAAATTCGTTGTTCAAATCTCGCGGTGTAGGATGGTATTCCGTGTGTAAACCGAAACACGTTTCCGCATACAAATCGGACAATATTATATTATTATGATTAGTTGGGTCCGTGGCGGTATTAAAACAAGAATTTTAATTTCGAAACTTTTTTTTTTTTTTTTCTAACAATCGACAACCGTTATACCTACGAAAAATTACGACAGAGTTTAAATTCGCATTTGATACGCGCGCCCATACCGAGTATAACGAAGAAAAAAAAAAACGATAATGATTATTATTGATGTTCTGTTCTACGCTAATTTCCTCGGTTGAGCTTTGTGTGTATATTATTATAGGTAGGTATATTATGTATACCTGTTTGATTTTGTATAGTCTGCGTGTAGTTTGAAGAATATTCAATTACCCGAAAGACTAAATTTGTTTCAAAGAAAAAAAAATGATATATTCTTTGTTTCGCCGAGGGTTTTTTTTTTATCGCAGATTTTTTCAAGCAGAAAATGTTTTATTATACTGTAATCATACAACCAGTTTACAAAGTTTTGTGTAGGTAGGTATAACGGAATAATAAACAAAATTACTTTTTCAATTCTTATTATATTCTTACATTATTATTCTTCCTTATAAGTATATTGTTACTCACATTTTTCATGAATAATAACCATTTTTTCTGTCCGCGAAAATATTAACGAAAACCGTTGGAACCGTTCTTCCGGTTGCCGAATTATGATTGTCGCGAAGCGAAGTGATATGATGCGTATTATTCGGTAGTTTAAGCGGAATCCCTACCGCGTTCCCGTGCAAAGGTACTCTGTTCCCCTACCTCTGACCGCGTTTAAAAAGGCGTCCCCTTTAAAATAATCATTAAAAAATACTCCGAAGGCGTTTAAGTTGATCCAAAACATACTAGAGTAAATCTTATTTTTACCATTCCTTACGAAACTTTATAAAGATCACGCCACATTTGCGTTAATTATTGTCTCCGTCTTACAGACGCATGACACACCACATAGACATAAACACAATTAGCGTTCAGTAAGACATCTTTGTGTCGTATATATTAGAGTGAATTGATCTAAACTTAATGGTAAGAACATTATCTGTGCCCCCGCGTCAGTGATTTTCCGATATTTTCATATTTAAGTGAGACACAAACCATTTTGGAACTATTGTAATATTTCACATACCCATATCCATATCTCGCTTAAAATTGAAAATCAGCGTAGAACAGAAGATAAATTATCATTGTTATCATCATTATTTCCTCCGTTATAATTCTGTAAGCGTGCGTATCATAATGCGAATTTAAATTGCTATCGTTTGTTAGAAGAAAAACAAATAAAGTTTCGGAACATTGAATTTCGTATTGTACAATCGCCACGGACCTAACTAATCACAATATAATATTGATTAATTTTATATGGAAACGTGTTTCGGTTTACACACGAAATACAATCTTACACCGAGATTTGAACAACGAGTATAATAATAACATTATAGACTGTAATAATTCGGTTTGGTCGTGTAAAAGTGTAGATTATTACTATTATTATTAATATTTGATAGTATAATAAATTACGAACAAATCTGCGCAAGCAACAGCCGTATAATAAATATAATTGAATTCCTCTCGTACACACACACACACGAGTAATATTATACACAAGAGAGTCTATTAATGTTATAAAGTGACATGCTAGTATTTTTTCTCCATGTTGAAAAAAAAACACGAAATATTTTCGGCACAACGCAATAATGTCTTATACACATATATTTTTTTAATTTATTTAAGTATGATTTATTTTCGTATTGAAATTCATAATAAAGGTATCTATATATAATACTACTATACCTGTAGTAACCTAACCTCATTATTATTTTACATTAGACGTGTTTTGGCGTTCTAAATAGTTCAGTGATTAAGTTCACGGTTACATATTCCGATCAGTAGACGGTTACTGAATCGCCAAAACCAAAATCCGTAATTTTGATTACCAACGTATTTGATAATACTATCACAAATTATTGTTGTCAGTTCACGTTGTTTTTCAATTTTCAACTTAAAATTGTTTTTCTCGCTCATGTACTAGTTTTTTTTCAAATTTCATGTGAAAATTAATTAGTTATAATAGCTAGAATAATACTGATATATTGTATCGAGTTATAGGTACCTTGTCTCCAGTTTTAGACAAAACTTCTCCGTTTTGAACTTAAATAGACTGACCCTCATTTTTAATACATTCAATGTAATAAAATTCCATTGCAACAACAAATTTTTTTGATAATTAACATAAAAACTATGAACAATACCTAAAACGAGAATTAAAATTCGAATTTATAAACTCACAAATATCACGTGGGTCATGTAATCGTGTTTATCAAGATTAATTTTGAGTAACCGAACATCAATAAACACTCTTACCAACTCGAAATAGACGGTTACGAAATTCACTAAACAGTTTACTAAAAAATTGTAACCGGGTTTCTGCAGTAACCAACTCGCAAAAACGTTATCAGAAAACAATTTACTCCCGTTTACAATGCCCAAACACGCTTATTAATTCGTATTTTATTACTCGGTTTTCTATCGTATATTTAAATGATTAAAAACCGACGTTTTTTATTTTTTCGAATTCCTCCGCAATATCCGCAGCTATACTGGCCGCATATTAGATTTACAAAACTATCACCAAACGTTCTATATTATATAATTGCATATTTATGTCCATGAGCGCAATAAACAAACTTAGTTCACGGTCCAGAAGAAGGACTAGTGAATATCCAAATATATGTAGAATAACATGGTTTACTTTAGGGAAAATTTAAATCGCTGTTGTATCTTGTGCAAGGTAGAAATACAAATTCACCGTAAACCAATAAGATATTTCTAAAAACCGTACCGAATCCGAATAAACAAAGCTTTCTCTGTAGTCAAGTTATTATTTTTACTTACTCTCCGTTTCAAAAGTTCTGTTTTGTTTTTTCTTCAATTTTTAAGTCGTTTATTCTGCCGTTTTAGATTATTTCATTCTGTTCTTATTCTTAGTGTAATTTATGAGTTTTTTTTTTTAAATTCTAATAAAATTTACATCACAGAAAATGCTTGACACGCGCTCCAGTTACGTGGTGTGATACAATATAGACGTCTGCCCGAATCTTCGTTTTGTTATTAATCTGTTGCTGCGGTAAAAGAAAGTAAAACAGTTTTCCTCCCGATATTATTGTATGCACCGTTTCCAACGACGTGGGTACGTCTTATATTATATACGATGCGATATAAAAAAATTGTTGCTTATATCCGTTGTGGCCGGTTGACACGCGTACAAAAGACAAAACGGAGTTAATATTATGCAATCTTAATATATATATATATACGTTTCTCTTCTGTTTTTTTTCTATTTTGATACGGCTAATTGCGAATTTACGATGAATACAAACCGACTAGAATATTATAATGCAACGAGTGCAACGAAATAATAAAATATTATATTCTAATTATGTCGTGTATACGTCCCATACAAAAAATATACATGTATTTATAAGTACGGTCTGTTATATAATATAGTATTATACGAATATTGTTAGGTACAATACGAGTCGTAAACTCATTGTTCTGTTACATTCTTCAAGACGTTCGCCATAATGGATTATTGATGGTACTGCACACATCATGGGTCGGTCGTCGCAATATAAGATAATACATTTGTCGATGGGTGAAAAACGTTTTTTTTTTTTTTTTTACGCAACACGACTTGACACGCGCAATAACAGTCGACCATTAAAATGGCGTATCTTTTATTGCGACCAGGTATTGATAATCATATTGTATACTTACTCTTGTTGTGATTGCGGTCGTCGTGTTTGTAAGTAACAACTGCTGCAATGAGATTACGTATCTACCTCTTCCGACGGGAGGCGTTTTTTAAGAGGATTTCTGTGTCTCCATACGGACACACAGTGAAGTCAATGGAACACCTGGTAGAGTAAGATTTTGCTTACTACTGCGTGTGTCCACTATCAAATAAATGGTACCTAAATGACTGAATTAGTAAAGGTTTAGTTGGGTTAGGTTAAAACCCAAAATTTTACTATTTTATGTACGCATAACGACAACGCGTTTTCCGAGATTAACTTAAAAATTACAGGTCCGATTTTCATATGTTTATTTTTAACCTTTTTAAAACTCCGATAATAAAACAAAAAACAGTGTATCGCTAATTAAATATTACTGAACAACTTCGTCACGCGCTTTAAATATTGACTTAGTGACATTTAAATTACATTCCAGCTTACTGGTCTCAGTTCAACATCTTTTTTTTTCTACTAACACTATTTTATATACTTTTTGAATATTAAATACAATGAAAACACATAATTTACAGTTTTACCACTAATTTTTCCTTTTTGATGTTCGAGATAAACTAAAAAAAATATAGAATCGATTTTCAAAATTGTATTACTTTTTTTGTAAAACTTTAGCTTATTAAAACTTTTTTGGTTTATAAATTTAAGGTCAAAAAGATTTACATTGTTTACATTTTAAAATAACAAAAATAATTTGTGTAAAAAAACATCTTATTTGCTTTGGTGAAAACGGAAAAAAATACCAATACATTTCTCGCTTCTCTCAGAATCTATCCGTGTACACATCTCAGTGAAACCAATACATATTACTCACTACGCTTAAAATCTTAAGTTGTCACACGTATGCACATCGGTATTAATCCAAACTATGATTTGTTTCACGAAAATAAACAATGATATCGCAATTACCGTTTGTCATCGTTCCGGCATATCGAAATATAAAATAATAAATATACAATAAAACAACGACTCCCAAACCAATACTTCCTATATTTCCTATACAAACCTATACTTCGAGCATATCAGTTGCTACACATCATATTTTGGGTGGACGGCTGTTCCCGGTAATTGAGATTCGGGCCGGTCGGGTAGAATGGGATATAAACATTCAAAAGTTATAGTTTTTAGTATTTAGGTACCTAGTAAAATTTAGATACAAAAGTTGTTTAGGTGGATGATGGTGGTTTTGAATTTCAAATATTGTGCTACACTATAAAAATATAGTTTGAGCGCCACTGCTGAATAAAAGGTTCACGATGAAGTATAATTCGTATATCATAAATCATAAATAATCGTGTCACGTGACACTAATCGTGTGTCGTTCGGAAATATTCATTGTGATAATATTCGCGATGGCGGTGAAAGTATGTAATACACACGCGAATTATTATAGATCCAAACAAAGCTTTAATTATTATTATTTATTCTATTAGATTCTGAGCGCGACGCGGAATGTATTATGTATTTGTGTGTACTATGATGATGGGTATTTCTGAGCGCATCGAAGGACATATCGGTTTTACTGCGGCGTATGTGCTTTTTTTTCTGTCTGTTACCCAACTTTTCAACAGCGGAAATCTCGCTCTAATCAAAATAATGTCGAAAAAACATTCTTATAGATCTAATTGATGCGTTGAGAAGTTTATTTTTTACCATGTATTTTCTAAAAAAAACATAAGATAAACGTGAAAGTTTACGGAAATTTAACAATTTAAATATATATTGTTTGTTTGTTGTAATTCAGTTAAAAATCATCGCAGAGACCTGCGATTTTCACAAAATACTTATATTAGCATTTTCTAAACATCCTCGCTATTTTTAATGTATTTATAAACTATAACATTTTCAAGTTTTTTTTTTAATTAGGTTTTGTGTAGATAAAAATGATTTGACCGATCAAAAATGCTTGAAATTTTGGTATTTTAATGAAAATCCTGAAAATCACGGCATTTCTAACTCGTTTAAACGAACTTCGCTCAGGATCGTTTTTCTTTTGCAATAATTTTCGTTATGTACAGATTACATACAGACATATAAATCACATAACTTTATGTATCAAATCTTCCCAACAGTTGCACACCCATCATCAGTACATCAGTTCTTTCTTGATTTTGTCTTTCGTTTACACCTATTTTTTCCCTGAATCGAACGTTTCTGACCCATTTTCGTACTAAAACTAAACGATACCGCTCAGTTGGTTTTGGACTTTTGAGAAATAATAATAATATCGCTACGAAATGGTTGTAATTTTTGTAATTTTTTTTTTAATTTTAATTAAACGTTAGTCGATCAAAATTACAACCTTGTCCGCGACCAATAAACCGAGCCCCGGGGTGCTCGTCGCACGACAACGTCGCATTTTATTATTTATATAAATATACAATATTACGAGTGCAAATTTTTTTATTTAATTTTTTTTTATATTATGAATACAAAATTAAAAATAATAAGAAAAATACGGTATAAAAAACCGGAACTCGCGATGATACAGAGGTGGTATTCAGCACGCGCCTGTATAGTTATAAAATAAAACAAAAATAACGCACGCCCAGAACATTTTTTTTATTATTATTATTATTTCTTGTACTTTATTATAATCGAAACGTATAAACGGTAACGGATAAATGAAACCGGAAGAACAACATACTTTTTGTTTTTTTATTAATAACGCGTATATCATAATATATTAAATTGCATAGATACGGTATACCTTATAATATTGTGACTTATGAATGTCTGAATGTTTGTTTACAGCAAAAAACGAAATTCTTTTTTATAATATTCGTTTTTAGGTTCCAAATGAACCGAGGAATATATTGGTTTTTGGCTATATGATTTGTGCTTGTCTTTTTATCTGTTTAAAACTTTTCCACAAGAAATCTTGCTCTTGCAATCGTTATAAATTTTTCAATTCGATTAAAAATAGTCGTAGAGATCTGCAATATATTCACCGAAGATTAGTATTTTTTAGACGTGATACAATATTATCAAAATATTCAGGAGATTTTCGAGCAATTTATATTCCATTCAAAACGGTTAAGTTTTTTTTATATTTTATTTGGATTTATGTGGACATTAAAACTGTTTTGGCCGAGCAAGATGCTCGACAAATTTAGACAAGGTTTTCCATAGGTTTTATTTTGTGGTAAAAAAAAAGAAAATGTTTAACGTTTTGTAATAATTTTTTTATAAACGTTTAAAGTTTAAAGCGGTCTACCCTCAAAATATCCTTAGTAATATTATCCCTTATTTCATATTTATATTTTTTTATTGCTATTTATTCTATTGAAAATATTACATAATATAAATGTATAATTTGTATTGAATAATATAAATAATTCGATGTTTTGGCAATGTATATTTTAACTAACTGTATTTTATATAAAAATAAATAATTTTTTTTTTTTTTTTGTAATGAATAATAGATTATTGAGATGTTTTAAAGTTATGCTTAGATTAAATTAACAAAATAAATGTTTCCAAATAGCATAACTTTAATCATATACATAACAATAAACGAACATAATTTGTTTAAAATGAAAAATTACACTGTATACCTTTTAGTTAAGTATAATGTTCATATATAAAAACCACTACTTTTAACTGTCTGTTCAACTAGTTCGTATGAGTACAATCTTTTTTTAAAAGCGTAGCCCTAACATAACCTCATCAGATATGTATTATTCTATTTGAGCTTTTTGAATCAAATTTTCTGAAAACACACAACCCACATCTCAGTAAAACTCATATAGTTTCATCTTTGAGCTCAGAATTTAAAAATGTAACTATAATAATAATTTATACTGTACAGGTAGTTGTTGTGTACATAATGTATTATAATGGTACTATTATTATTATAAACTCATCACCTGGACATTTTATTGCAGGGAAGTAGTGTTATACGTCCAGTGGCCTTCAAGCCGGGTTCAATGAGATTCACCGACAACGGAGAAAGATATGGCTCCACGCCTATTCTCACCAGATCCTCGCACAGACATCTGTACGGCAGTAAGTAATAATAATTTTCCCGAATACACTGTATATTATTCATACTATATACTTATAGGTAGGTACGTAATAATGTAAGCGCGTTATAAAATTATTAACTCCGAAAATAAAACTTATATCAGGGGCAGATTTGATTCGTCTTCTAAGGGGGAGCAATATCTTTTTGGTCCAAAAATTATACTTTTAACTATTTACCATGTAACGTGGTCAGAGGTGACCCGTTAAACATAAAATATTCATGGAAAAGAGTAGATTCTTTTGAAAAAAAAAAGCCGCGATTGTAATTTATTAACACATTTTGAACTTCTGTACAGATTTGAGATTTCTGAAATAAATTATTATTTATAGGTAGGTAGTTTGATGTCTAGGGGGGAAAGGCCCCTACGACTGCCCCTCCCTAAAAGCCACGCCTGACTTGTATAAAGGCTATATCCGTGAAATCGATTATTTATTAATCTGTGTACAAAAACTCATCCAGTTAACTTTCAACATGGATAGTTAAACTGACGGCTAAATGGGTGAAAATCTGCAGCGCGTTCCTTAAATCACGATTAGTAATCGGATTGAAGATCGCATTAATTAGGTTACTTAAAAGAAAAAAAAATGATCCGAACATATTAAAAATCTCCGCGGCGTTTTTTCGCGCTCACGTGTCGTTTTGTCGGATCGGCGATAGTGTATTTTTTAATTTTTCCATCCTATATATTATATAAGATAACGTATTAATATATAGTTCCGGACGTGGTGGATTTGATAAAACGGTAAATTATAGACACCTGCGCTGGAATCACGCCGAGCGCCTCATCGCGTGCAGACCGGAACATATTATAATAATGTATAACAACCGGTTCGATCGGCCACGGGCATCCCATAAAATATAATACAATTATACATCGACAATTAATTTACGATTTATTTGCTCGTTTAAGGCGTTTTAATTGTAGGTGTACCGCAAAAACGCGAGTAATTTATACATTACCTGTAGGTACTGCCGGTCCTAAACTGTTCTATATACCAGCCGATTACATTATAGTGTCTAATAAATATCGGACGTATTCTATTCTCTACCTTTTCTTCTTCCTCTACGGGGTTGGCTATGTTATACTTTTATTTTCGCCCTATCTATGGCCATTTCTCCATTTACTCCAAAGTCCACTTCGCATATGGTCTCGAATTTCCCCTATAATAACCACTAATCACGACTAGCCACTTTTTCTTCGGCCTACCTCCCTACCTGGCTTTCATTCAGCTCACCTAAACTGTCTTATCGTTTCTCGTCCTTCTCTCAAAACGCCCATTTTAAACACACAGCTTTTACCCGTAAACATTGATTGTATTTTTATTATCTATTTTGTCCGACGAAAATTAAATCGATTAAAACCGATTTAACCAAACTCACGATTTTAGTTTTCTAATAATTACGTTTAAATTAGCTATTAAATTTGTATAATATGTTAGGTACCAATGAACTCCATCATCAGTCGTTGAAACCAAATATGATATCCTCCGGCACTTTAGACCGAAAACTACGGTCGGCGTCTCCAATGGTCATGTCATCGTTGCCGGCACAGACCAGCTGCAAATTTCGGCTGGGACAACAAGACGATTTCAAGTCATCCTCTTCATACAGTTCCTACAGAGATTACCGACCCAGGTAAAAATTAAAACGGTTTGGTTTTCAATATTTTAATATATACTACAATATTATTAACGTGGGTTATTGTTTTTAGTTCAAAGTCGTTCGCGAGGCTCAACAAACGGTGTTCGGCGTCCGAAGGGTCGGCTAGTTTATTAGACTTAACACCCTCACCGTCCGAATCAACAATGTTGTCCGAAATGGAAACGGTACTAAAAGACAGGGACCGTGAACTGAGGCATCTCCGACAAACGATGGAACACAACGAACAAGTGATATTCAGAGTGTATCAAGAGAAGGAAAACGCGTGGGAAAGAGAATTGAGAAGAATCAAAGCGATGGGTGACAACCGACTTAAAACGGCCGCGCAAAAGTCATTAAAGCTGGAACAGATGCTCATGATGCAGACGTACAAGGTAAATTCAATAATGAAACCGTTCTCGAAATGTTTTCATGTTTTTGTTTTTAATAAGCTAATTGTATACACACTTGTAATACAATTATTTACGAACAATTTATTATCATTACGAAACATATTCATAATTATGATATCTCTTGGATCAGTTACAGGACGAGAAAAAGAGATTGCAAGAACAAAACGACCAATTCGCCTCCGAGACAATGGACTTGAAAAAAGAATTAGACGAGTTGAAGGTTAGGCTCGAGGAAACCGAATGGGGTCTCTGTCAGAAGTCCGGTGAACTGGCTCATGTCAAATCACAACTAAAAGATACTCAAGTAAACGTTCGACTAATAAATACCACTATATTGTCTCGTAATCATACTGGATATTATATTGTTAGCAATAATTTTTAGAGCGATCTTACGGCGAAAGGACACGAAGTGATTACATTGAAATCCGAGATCCGAGACCTGTTGCAAAAGCTTGAAACGAAGGAACGCCGCGAACTCGAAGGGAAATGTCCGGAAAGGTACGGTGACGATGACGGAAACGACAATCGTCACGACAATAGATCGCAGACAGACACCCTCTATTCGCTGGTCGGACGACTTAATGAACAGGTATCGGATCACAAATACGATTTAGAACGTTTATTGATACGAAAGCAGTGCGCACGAATTTTGGTTCTCATATTACGTCCATATTATACCCTATACTCTAACCGGCGTTTTGCCTACAAATTGCAAAACAAATGTTGTTATAGATTGTAGTATTCTAATTATTTATCATTGTGTCATTTTTGGATTTACCTTGAATTGTACCAGTAATCTGAATTTTTGGTAAAAAGCTTAAATTTCGAGGGAGGAGGTCCAGATCCCATAGACCACCCCCCCTTCTTCTGGCTACACTTGTCTAACCTCTAACTACTCCTAAAAACGGGGAAAACGAATAATCGAACACCTATTGAATAGCCCCTTCCACTTAAATGTGTATGGGCACATTTCAGCCAAATCAATGACATGCAGAGGTCTGAAAATTTACATACAGAAGTAAATGAACAGGCGTGTGTATGCGCATCTCAAAATTGAATTTCAACACTATCTACAAGTTGCCCTAGGACCTAAGGTAACTTGTAGATTGTGTTTGGTTTTATTGGAATGCAAATCGATATTTTTAATGATTTGTGGGTTACTTTGGTGACTTGGTTAGTGGTGACAGAGTCGAAAAAACAGATAGTATTAGTTTGGTTATCATGGACAAGGAATTGTACTTAATAAATTACCGGGCGACAACGAATAACTGTGATAGAAAATGGGATGGAAACGGAGGGTCACGTTTTTATTTTGTTTGAGTATAATATTGTGCACGGGAAACGATTTTGCATAATATTTACAAAGGACTCGCGTTTCAATAAATCTAAGGGATGCGATTCCCGGAGTATGTTCGATTGTTTAAAATATGTATTTTTTTGTTTTCTTGAATCGCCTCTTATACACCTTGCCTTTATCGCGTTGCGCAAGATCGCACATCTCCCCTTTATCCAGTTCTTGTCAAGCTTCCATCTATGCTATTAATCGGCCACTATTAATAATTGTATACCATAGTAATAATATGTCTTCTTGATTATAAATCGCATCGTTTGTCTTTCTCTCGTGAATGCAGGTGGAAAACGAGCTGAGCAAATCGAACAAATTGTCAGAACGGTACAACAAGAACGATGACCCATCGTCGTCGGTGCCGGAGAAAGAAACGGCGGAAGCCGATACGGAGTTGGACCGGTTCAGGGAGCTAGAACGGCACACGGCCCGGCTGATCCGGGTGCTGAACGAGGAGCGTAGGAACTGGGACCAGGAGAGGCTCAAGTGGTTCCAGGAAAAGGAGAAAGTGTTGTGTTACCAGAGACAGTTACAAATGAACTACGTGCAAATGTTCAGAAGGACGCAGGCGTTCGAGGCCCAAATCGAGAGCCTGACCGTCCAAATGAACGTGTGCTCGGACCATTGTACCGCGACCGGCAAAAACGCCACCAGGAACAAAGCGGTCAAGACTACCGTAAACGCCATTAAACTATGAACAAAATCAATAATTATTGATGTGCTTGTGTTGTCTATGCGTGTGGAATTTTAATTACCATTTATTATTATTATTATTATTTTTATTTTAATTGTCTTCTTTTTTTTTTTATTATTATTATTATTATTTTTGACTTACGATTTGCTCTCTATTATCTCTATTTCTCCTGAGAAAATTATACACATATTATATTATAATTTACATTTATTATATTAATATAATCACAAATTATACATCAAATATCATTTTATATTATTAAGAGTGCAAATATGAACATGATAACACGAGTTTATTATTAAATATTTTATAATATCATTACGTTTGTATGTGTGTGAATTGACATTTGTACACAACTAAATATATCTAATTGTTATTCGTTTATTGTAATTATTAAACATTGATGTGGTTTTTTATTTTTGAATGTAGCGAAGAACCTAAGATACTAAGCTTTGTGTTTAGTTGCGGAAAACGTTTTTCAGTTTTTAAAAATACTCCGAATTGTTCACATCACACGTCCGGACTTTTTGACGGGTGGTACTTTATTTGATAAATATTTCTAGATTCCCCAAGGAATCTCTTAAAAATTCAAAAAAAACGACAGCAAAACAATGACGATTCGTTTGTTTCTAGATTAAGATCATTTTTTTGATCGCAATAATTTGTTGTTGCTTTCAGTAAACAAACTAAATTACCATTATATCCTATGCATTTTCAAATTCCATCTTCCCGTCTACAATAGTTGCCAATCCATGGTGCGAAATATGTACAAAATATGAGTGTAGATACCGTCCGTCACACATTAGCCACGCTTGCCAAATCTTGCTCGGATGTATAGAGTACATTACCTTTTCTGAAAGGAAATATTGTTTAGTTGGTGCATTAAAAAGGTCGTTTTTTTGATTTTCTGAGAAGTCATCGAGTCTCTACGAATACTTTTAACCGAATGTCATAAAAAAAAAAAAAAAAATTCAAAATAATAACGGAATTATATTTTCGTAAATTTCCCCGTTATTTATACGTATTTTTTGGGTTTGCTCAATTATTAAAAAAAAATTACAAAGAAAATAAAAAAAACGGCTTTCTTTTTCTTGATCACTAACGAGATTAAAAATTTAACAAAACAGATCTCTAGTTATTTTTTCTATCGGTGCAATATTTTTGGCAGAAAACATAAGCCGTACAAATTTTTAATAAAGAAATCCTAGCACCGTAAAGTAAAATGAAAACTTCCTCGCATAAATTAATACCTCTTCCATTTTAACCATTTGAAATATCACTGAAACAATGGGCCTCTAAACCCACATAGATTCAGTCAAAAGATTTTTTTTATTTTCAAAAAATACGGTAACAATTTAAAAATCTAATTGTTTAAACAACGAAATTATTAATAATTTGTCAAATCACAAAATTAAGTAGAGTGTAGATACAGTAATCAACGATTTGTATTATTATTTTTTTAAACAAATATTTATAAAAAAAAATAGACGCCC